AGGACTTTTATTTCTTGTGGTATAATAAGTAATGTGAGCTTCATGTTGATTTGACCTGGTTCTCCATTCCCTCTCAATCCATTGGGGGCAGTGCTGATACACCTATTATATGGGTGCTGTGCAAGCAGGTGGGCATTGAGAAACATTGAGCTTATGGATTAACCACTTTTATAGTAAGCAGAAGCAAGCCAGGTCTGTCGTGAAGACATTACCTTATCCTTAAAGTTTGCTTGTTTCCAACACAACCTTGAGAAATGATCCATGAAGAGAGCAGTCTGTGTCTTGCATTCTTGGCATACCCAGCAAGAATGTGCAGGAACTCTAAGGTTGTGGTGAATTGCCTCTTAATAGCAGTATGTGACAGAACTAATGTATAAACTCAGTTTTGCTAAGTTTCATGACAAAAACTCAAGTTGAAAAAGTTAAGCCTTTCCCCCAAAATACTTTATTTTAAAATTTTTGTTTTATTTAGGACATCTCAAAACATGTCCTCTTGGCTTATTTAAATATATTCAATCACTAACACCAGTTTCAGATATTAAAAAGGCAAAGAAGAGAAGGCAGAGCCCACTTTTAAGACATTTCCTCTATTTTGTCTCAGAATCTCCCCTAATTTTCACTAGTTCCTTCCACAGCAATGAGCCCATGATAATGTTTTCATAAATGAAGTAGTCCCTTGCCCTGTGTCCACAGCAATATTTGTTATACAATAAGGAACAAACAGTAAGAAGTACTGGTGGATAGTGTATGGCAGGGGAAAAAAAGTAGTTTGTTTCAACCTTTTAAAACCCAGCATAGAGAAACTTTGATTTGCTTTTCTTGAAGGATTAATTAAAATACATTTTAAACTTGGAATTAGTAAAGCCAGGCTCCTTATAGATTAGAAAATGGACATGTAGCATGGTTAAATGCTTGTTCAAGATCAAGTTTCTAGTGACAGAATAAAGTGATATTATATTATTGTAATTATCATATATCTTGCATTATAATACTCTTTTCCTACCTAATGTAGTTTATAGGGGTAAGTCAGTAAATATTTGTGGATTACTTTGCTTTAGGAATGAATAAGATATATTCTCTGTCTTCAAAGAATCATTTGCTAATGGAGAAATAAGAATTCAATTTTAATCCATAATTGTTTTTCTTTAAGAAGCAGTTTTAAATACATCTAGTTGTAGAATAATACATTTTTAAAAATCTACTTGACTTTATTATTTCTTAGTGTTAGACAGTTTGATTAACATTAGTTAATCCAAACATTAATGCTGATTATTTCCTAGTGTTGGGATTAGATGTATGTGTTTAATGATCTTATTTTTTACATAAAAATATTGAGAAAGAAGATATTTCAAAATATCCAAAGTTGTAAATGTTATATTTCCAATTTTCTCTTTTACAGAAGGATAGGTATATTTTGTCTACATAGAACATCAAGTAATTGTTTTGAAATTGAGGTTTGTAGCTAGGTTTCAAACTCATCAATTACAAAGCAGGTGAATTGACTTGGGTTGGGTGTTCCTGTGAGAATTACTGACTTGAGTACTAATTTAGGGATTTGGAGATTTTAAAATATTAATGTTTGAAGAGGAATTAAAAAGGTGAACCTGTCCTTAGTCTTTGAAGTATAGTTAGCTTCCAATTAATCTGCATGTGTGGGACACCATCCCCTCCTAGGTATGACTTTCTGAGACCTGTTGGAAAATTGCCTTTGCTTGGATCCAGTGGAAAAGTTTCCACCCATCTTGTTGGCTTTTAAAGCCACTCTCTCTCCTCTACCCATGCAAATGGATGAAATTGGGCATCATCCGTGTTTCAAACAGAATCCTCCTTGCCATTAGCGAGAATAATAACCGGATGAGTAGAGATTAAGAGAATAAGTTAAAGACATTCTGAGTGACATTAGATTCTAAAATTGGCTATCATATCTGCAATTAAAATGGCACCTTGTTTTTCTTTGTTATGTTGAAATGAAATTTAAAGTATCTTAATAGCCAAATAAGTTAGCTTATGGTTTTAATCATTTACCTAAAATTAATAGCACACTGATATTAAGTAGTAGCCCAGTACTTGTTTTCATGAGAGAGCTGGGTTTATTATTTTTGTCTTTTTTATTACGTGGGATTTGTTAAGTTTCACAGAGTACTATAGCAACCGTAAAGCTGGTAGAAAAAGCAGAGACCTGGAGTTAATGAGGTAGCTTTCAGGAGAGAGAACAGCCTGAGAGCAGACAGGACTTTATGTTGAAATGCAGAGTTTGTGTGAGCTCCCAAAACAAGAGATATCAAAAGAAAAATGTTCAGGCAGGTAAAGGAGTTGGGAATTGAAAGGGTGGAAAGAGTGTCTAGGAAAAGGGAATAATGTAGTTGGAGGCATAGAAATAAGAGAGAGCATAGGTGGTAGTGAAGCTGCTTAAAATAAACCATCACCATGGCTACCAGTGAAAATCCTTTAATGCAAAGATGTGGCATGGCAAAGCAGAGGGATTTAGAGATGTACTGAAGGGTTTTGTGCAGGGTAGTGAGCTGACCAACTTCCTGTTTTACAAATTACTCATATTACAGTGTGTGGAACAGGTTGGTGAGGGCAAGAGTTGACACAGGAAGACTGGTTAGAAGACTTTTGCAATATTCTAAGTAAGAGATAATGATGGCCTTCATTAGGGTGGTGTTGATGGGGGAGGAAATAACTTGGTGGGCTGATGTATTTCAGAGAGAATAGCTCTTAGATTAGATAGGTGGAATAGGGAAGAGGGAGGAATTGACTTGGAATTGAGGTTGTTTCTGGCTCTCCTATTTCTGGCGTGGCAACAATCAAGACGGTGATTTTTCCTAAAGAGGCTTGGAGTTTTTGCTGTGTTTTCCTCCACATGACTAAATATAGTGTGGTAGGAGAAGAGGAGTTTGGAAACAAAAAATTATTAATTTAGAGAGCACCACTCATCTAGGTTGTGTGGAACCAGAAAGCCAAAGCTGCTACTACCACGGGCGGTTTTTATAGTCTATGTGCATAGCTACAAGAAATTACAAGAAATTCTTTGTTTTATTTGCTATAATAATATTTAATATGTACTACAGTACACAAATATTATTTCCATCTTTCCCTTTTCTAAAATACAGTATCTACAGTTAAGTATTATTGAATCTAAAAGGAATCTTGGAAATTATGGTTTTCTTCCACAGTTGAGGAAACTGGTGCTCTGAGAGAAGACCACATTATACCTATGGAGTGACAAGTAGTAAAACTCGGGTCTGCTACTGGCCACTCCATTGCTCTTGCCTCATTACCTGGACAGCTCCACATTGATTAGTACATTCCATTACAGCTAACAAACAAAGCTGAAGAGTTTATTAAAGAAAAATACCAGTATCATAGAGGAGAAAAAATAGTTGCATATTCTTTACTTAACATATTATTTACATAAGATATTTTTGAGGCATACAAAATTCTATTTTAGAAAACCAGGTTTGCAGAAATTCAATCCTTTCTTGTCTATTGTCATTCCTGTTCTTCCTATTTTCCTTGTTAGTTTCGGCCAGGCTGGTCTGGAACTCCTGCATCTCAAGCAATCGGCCTCCCAAAGTCCTGGGATTATAGGCATGTCACCGTACCTGGCCTCATTTTATATTTTTAATCGGTGTTTGTCTTGCCTTTCTTCCTTAAACTGCTTCTCTTTAACCATGGCAAGTAGGGAATCTCTTTAAAAACTTAGGTACAGTAAGTGAGTGGTATATATTCCAGAATATTCTATCCTGTTTAAAGAGCCTACAGAATAGGATTAGATTTTGGTTTTATTCTGTTATGAACATATCTTCATATTTACTTTTCTTCTTTGAAAATAGGTTTTGAAATTTGAGAGAGAAGACAGACAGGAAGGTATTGGATTCAAGTGGATGCACAATGATGTGGTGTGGGTGTAGTGCAGTGATCCTCCAAGTGGAGGAAAGGCAACTCATAATAATTCACTGTTTTGGAGAGAAGATATTAGAACTTTCATTTATATTTATTTCTAATTTATTTCTTTTTAAAATTCTGCTTTTGTATGTACAATCGACTCTCCATATTCAGGGGTTCCACAACTATAGATTCAACTGACTGTGGATTGAAAATATTCAGAAAAAATAATGGATTGTTACATGTGTACTGGACATGTACAGACTCTCTTTTCTTATTATTCTCTAAAATAATGCAGTATAACAACTATTTATATAGCTTAACATTGTATTAGTATTATAAGTGATCTGGAGATGATTTAAAGTATACAGAAGAATAAGTGTGTAAGTTATATGCAAATACTGCATCATTTTATGTCAGGGACTTGAACATCTGTGGATTTTGTTATCCATGGGGAGTTGTGAAACCAATCTTTCATGGAAACTGAGAGATGACAGTATTTCAGTATATGACAAATCAATATGGTAGAACATGAATATTATTTATAAATGAATATATATATGTTGTGGGAATATGCTTAAACATGTTACTGTGACAGAACATAATGGTCAAATAGGTTCAGAAACCACTGGTGAAGAGTTAGCAAAAAAGACGAGTCAAGGGCATCAAGACATTAAGATAAATAAATGTCCTTGCTTTTTTATTTTTCCATACTATTACCACTGGAAATAAAGAGAAAAAAAAAATCTAAAACAATAATAATAGCAAATAGCACTTTGGTAGCAGAATTTATTGGATTGAGTATCTACCTCTTACAGAGCAGAGGAAAAGTATCCTCTTGGATAAGTATCTAATTTTAAGATGGATTTTACTCTTGTTCATGATTTTGGGGGATTGTTAAGTATCTCATTGAAATTAAGAAAGTCATCTCATATACTGAAATTGATTCATTATAATTCAATTTATTTAAACTTTTCAACTGAATAAGCATTAGGTAATTACATCAGAGTTTTAAAAAAGATTTGGCCAAGAATTTTTAAGTCCTATTTTTTGAGAGGTTTTTTTTTGGCATTTATTTTATTTTTTTCTTTTCTGATTATTTCTCACAGAATAAGACCACAGCTTGCCAAAGAGAAGATTGAAGGATGCCATATTTGTACATCTGTCACACCGGGAGAGCCTCAGGTCTTCCTAGGGAAAGACAAGGCTTTTACTTTTGACTATGTATTTGACATTGACTCCCAGCAAGAGCAGATCTACATTCAATGTATAGAAAAACTAATTGAAGGTTGCTTCGAAGGATACAATGCTACAGTTTTTGCTTATGGACAAGTAAGTGCCATATTATTTTCATAGGAGTTGAAACTTTTCAGAAATGTTAATTCAGTTGCGCTTTCATTTTTGTTTCTTAAGGTTATGTTAAGGTTGAACACTAATCTTTCTCTGTTCTTTTGTTTAGACTGGAGCTGGTAAAACATACACAATGGGAACAGGATTTGATGTTAACATTGTTGAGGAAGAACAGGGTATTATTTCTCGAGCTGTTAAACATCTTTTTAAGAGTATTGAAGAAAAAAAACACATAGCAATTAAAAATGGGCTTCCTCCTCCAGATTTTAAAGTGAATGCCCAATTCTTAGAGGTAATAATCCAATTTTGGCATTAATTTCTTTTAAAGTTTGTTTTTATAGACCATAAGTGTTCATGATTTTATACTGTTGGCTTCTAGTACAGTGCTTTGAAGATAGTACTCAATAAATGTTGTTTGAGTAAATTAACATTAGATAATAGAAATAAGTTTTCCTTACTTGTAGGAAGTGATGTTTGAGTTTAAGATTATAAACACTTGACCAGTGTCCATAGAATAAAATAACAATTAATATTGTTTATTTAAGAACCCCCCCTTTTTTTTTTGGAGGTAGAGTCTCATTCTGTCACCCAGGCTGGAGTGTAATAGCACCATTTCGGCTTACTGCAGCTTCTGCCTCCTGGGTTCAAGCGATTCTTGTGCCTCAGCCTCCTGAGTAGCTGGGACTACAGGCATGCGCCACCACACTCAACCAAATTTTTGTAATTTTAGTAGAGATGGGGTTTCGCCATGTTGCCCAGGCTGGTCTTGAACTCCTGGCCTCAAGCAATTCACCTGCCTCTGCCTCCCAAAGTACTGGGATTACAGGTGTGAGTACTTATTTTTATCAATAGATAAAGGTTAATTACTGTTGTAATTTAGACAGGCTTACAAAGTGGTGGGAACTTAATGACTAAGGCCAAAAGTAGGGGAAGTATGTGAGAAATAATAGGTCTCAGATTGTAGCACTTATCTAGCTGAAGAAATTATCCTTGCATAGGTAGACAGATGTTTTGATATAATGTCCAAAGGTGGTGGTGGCTTTGGATTAATTTAGGCTGTCTAGTGTGATAGAAGGAAAGTAACACTAAGAGGACATCTAGGATTTGAGCCAATATTGCACTTTGGTGGACAGTGGCATAATTCTGGGTTCTTGGTGCAAAGAGAATTTAGTCTAAATTACCTGATCCATGAGCTAATCATTTTCATCATTGATGAAACATTTTACTCAGCATTGTGTAGCACAAAATAGAAAAATTAATATCAGTTTTTTTTTCTGCTGGTTTTAATGGACATTCTTATTTAGTAAAAACCAAAGAGAATATAACTGTGTGTTCCCAAGGAAAGTAAATGATGGTAGAAAAAGAAAAGAAACAGTGTTATTCCATCTTCCCTTTCACCTTCCAGAATGATATTAGGCATTGTAACTTTAAAACATATTGATAGAAAAACAGGTGTGTGTATCCTCTTTTAAGGAGGTATCTGGGTTTTTTCAGCCTCTATTGATACAGGAACACTAATACTGTTGCTGACCTTGCAAACATGCTAAGCGTTAATTTTTCAACTCGTTAAGAAAGGTTTCAGGGCAATAGAAAATATGTTTTTAGCTCAAGTAGTAAAAATTCTTTAAATATTCTGAAGCTTAAGATTTGTCTACATTTGGCATGTGTTTCTAGGGTTTGCTTGTATTTGTAAATATTTAATTATCTCTTGCAAAGGATTATTAGATCATTTTAGCTAGTCCTCAACCCATTTGTCATGATTAAGTCACTTACTGTTTTTACTCTTGTAAATAAATCTGGCATTTGCTTATAATTGTTGTAATAATAGCCTCATTCATTTTTATGTGTTATTTTGAAAAAAAAATATGTCATTTTGAAGTACTTTAAAAATCTGTATGAAGGAAAACATTATGTAATGTGTTGTTATGACAACTACCCAGACAATTTCTGCTAAAATTAAATTTCTAATATTTTTTGATAGCTCTATAATGAAGAGGTCCTTGACTTATTTGATACCACTCGTGATATTGATGCAAAAAATAAAAAATCAAATATAAGAATTCATGAAGATTCAACTGGAGGAATTTATACTGTGGGCGTTACAACACGTACTGTGAATACAGAATCAGAGGTAATATTTATATTGTAGTTAAAACAGAGCATAGCTGGCTTTGTTTAAATAGTGAGCTTTGCTGATAGTCTGCTTAAGATCAAGATATGAAATTTATATCCTGAAGCATGACATGGAATTAAAATCTTGTCTTCTTTCCTCACATTTTAAAAATCAGAATATTAGTATAAAAATATCAGGGTTATGATAAAGTCAGCATAGTTGTCACAGCATCAAAAGAATCTAAGAAAATTTATGAATAGCTTTCATTCACAGCTAGAGAAAGAGGGTTAGACAATTGATGGTGAAGGATGAGACCACAATCCTTTTGTACTTTTTGCTTTAACCTATGTAGAACTGTATCATGGCTCCTAGAGGGAGATTGTTGAGAAAAATTACAAAAAATAATTTTAACGGAAGATAGAGAAGAGCCTGAATAATTCAAGTTATTGCTCAGTTTGTACCAGAGTGTTCTACTGTAACAGTTTTGGAATGGAAGCTGCAAATGTCAGCAAATGGCAAACAATGGAATCTCAGTGTTTTCTTCTATTTAAAAAATAATACACTATTATACTGAGAAATTCATCTCAAAAAGTGCCTGTAACTAAACTAATAATGTGAAATTCCACATCTTTTATATCACTTAACATGGTGGGTTTTAGCCATTACCTCAGACTTTGGATTGTATAGTATGTTGTTTATTGTTCAAGTAAAGTCCTTTGTTTCTTCCGCTTTTTCAGATGATGCAGTGTTTGAAGTTGGGTGCTTTATCCCGAACAACTGCCAGTACCCAGATGAATGTTCAGAGCTCTCGTTCACATGCCATTTTTACCATTCATGTGTGTCAAACCAGATTGTGTCCCCAAATTGATGCTGTGAGTTATCAATTCTAATTTCTTAAACTTTCAATTTTTATCTCCCTAAAACCACATGAATTCTGTGAGAATATATTTCAGCCAAATTCAGTTAATTTAGTCATTCCTTTTTCTGATTTCCTTTTCTGATCCTAGTTAAGTTAAAGCTGGTCAGCCATGTCAGATTTTGAAATAAAAAATTGTATATATGTCTGAAAAACCAGAAAGGATGCTGTGGCCATATGTTGGATGTCATCACCTGAGACCCTTTGCTTTTGAGGATTATATGCTGTAGTTTTCCCTTCATTAGCATAAGCAAAGCCTCAGTTGATAATAGTTGAGTTCTGAACATCCAGGCTTTTTCTGCCTTTAAATTTCTAATTGCCAGCAGACATTTTTTGAATTTATTATTTATTTGGCTTTATGCCTATTTATTTGGTTGTGCCTATATGTGTACGTGGGATGAGCTCAAGGTAGAGTAGGAGGATATTTAATGTTACATTAATAAAATATTTTCAATTATTTTTCTTAATTTCAGGACAGTGCAACTGATAATAAAATTATTTCTGAATCAGCACAGATGAATGAATTTGAAACCCTGACTGCAAAGTTCCATTTTGTTGATCTCGCAGGGTCAGAAAGATTGAAGCGTACTGGAGCTACAGGCGAGAGGGCAAAAGAAGGCATTTCTATCAACTGTGGACTTGTAAGATTAAGGCTTTGTGCTGAGAATATATCAGAGCTTTTCTATTGTCCTTTTGTCTTTTGTAATTTATAATATCCATATGGAAATCCTTCAGACACTGAACTGAGAAATGAAAATTATAGAACAGTTATTAGTAATGCACTGAATCTCTGATCTCCTCACGCTTTTTTCTCTTTTTTATATTACAGATTTTCTTCATGTGTATAAATTTAGTTGCACTAAAATTTATATGTGCATAAAATTATAGATATACAAATTATTTGAAAAATTCTTTCCACATTTAACAATATATTGTCAAAATCAATTTATTTATTTATTTTTATCTTTTATTTTTTTAAAATAGGGTCTCACTGTGTCACCTATTCTGGAATACAGTGGTGCGATCATGGCTCACTGTAGCCTTGACCTCACGGGCTCAACTGATCTTCCCACTTCAGTCTCCCTAGTAGCTGGGACCACAGGCCAGCACCACCACACCCAGATAATTCTTGTATTTTTTGTAGAGATGGGGTTTTGCCACATTGCCCAGACTGGTCTCAAACTTCTGGGCTCATGCGATTCACTCACCTCAGTCTCCCAAAGGGCTGGGATTACAGGCGTGAGCCACTGCGCTTGGCCCAAGATTTAATATTAAGTTATTTCATGGGTGAAGACTTTCAAAGTAGCCTTTTGATAATATTTTATGACAGTCATTTTATTGACTTTGGAAATTATAATTTTTTTTGGTAATGATTTTTTAAAAGTGATACTTTTTCTAGGTTATATTAAAAATTAACTTTAATACCATGCCACTTAATGGCATTTTGATTGGAAAACTCCCTGTGATTTAGTGAGCATAAAGCTTCATTATATGGAAGGAAATGTTTTAGAGCAAAGTTTTGTGCATTAAAATGTTCTTATTATCTTCATTACAAAACTGGAAATTTGTGCCTGCACAAATGTAATGACATCCCTAAATTTCTGTGACACCAGTAGCATCAGAGTTGTAACTACCCAATGGATTATTTTTGCCCGCTGCCCAGATAGAGCTGATTTATCAAGATGGGGGAATTGCGATAGAGAAAAAGTTTAATGCACACAGAGCCAGCTAAATGGAAGACTGGAGTTTTATTACTCAAATTAGTCTCTCCAAAAATTCAGAGACTGCGGTTTTTAAAGTATAATTTGGTGAATGAGGGGGCTAAGGGAGTGGGGAGTGGAGGTGAAATCATAGGGTGTCTCAGTGGGTTCTTCTTGCTGTCTTCTGTTCCTGGGTGGGATTACAGAACTGGTTGAGCTAGATTACCAGTCTGCATGGTGCCAGCTGGTGCATCAGAATGCAGGGTCTGAAAAAATATCCAAACACCAATCTTAGGTTTTACAATAGTGATCTTATCCATAGGAGCAATTGGGGAGGTTAGGAATCTCGTGGCCTCTGGCTGCATGACTCTTAAATCATAATTTCTAATAATCTTGTGGCCAATTTGTTAGTTTTACAAAGGCTTGCTGGTCCCCAGGGAAGAAGAAGGGTTGTTTCAGGAAAAGGCTGTTATCATCTTTTCAAAATTCTTTAAACTATAAACTAAATTCTTCCTTTAGTTAGCTCAGCATAGGAATGAACAAGTGCAGTTTAGAAATTAAAGGCAACATGGAGTGGATTAAGTCGGATCTCCCTCACTGTCATGCTTTTCTCACTGATACGAATTTTGAAAAAGGCAGTTTCAGAGTGTGTGGTGTCTGCTTTCCTCCCATTAATCAGCCCCCAATATTTGCTCCTATATGATTATGACCCTTCTATGGGGAAATTATCAACCAAGGCTGATTAGAGAGAGCCAGACCTTCCAACTCCAATACTCACTCATCTTGATGGTCCAACCATGTGGATGAATGTTGTGTAAAACGGCATGCCTGGATTCTGGACTTTGTGTATTGTTTTGACTTTCTTAGGAGATACAGTCACGGTGGTATTTACATTTATGTTGTCAGGAAAAAACAAAAGCCATTGCTTTGTTTTCCTCTTTAGGCTCTTGAAGCATGTTGAGACATATCTAGTAGAGTTTCAGTATTACCATTGCTTATGACGGTAGCCATTCTGAAAAGGGGGAATGACGACAAAGTGTGATCCTGTTGCCACTCCCTGCATGATCTATTTTTCCTAATAAAGTTATGATTATAGATGTTTGCTTTACTGATGTCTAGTGTGAGCAACATTTTGGATAATGTTTATCTTGTAGGTGATAATTCAGTGACAGTAGGAAAAACAGCAGGGTCGCAGGAGGAGTGACTACAGAGTTCTGTAATTTGACTAGTTTTTAAATAATTGGATGCTAGCACATATATTATTGTATTTATTTATTTATTTATTTGTTGAGGCGGGGTCTCACTCTGTTGCCCAGGCTGGAGTGCAGTGTTGTGATCCCAGCTCACTGCAACATCCACCTCCCAGGTTCAAGCTATTCTCCTGCCTCAACCTCCCAAGTACCTGGGACTACAGGCACACACCACCACGCCTAGCTGATTTTTGTATTTTCAGTAGAAATGGGGTTTCCCCATGTTGGTCAGGCTGGTCTCGAACTCTTGACCTCAGATGATCCACCCACCTTGGCCTCCCAAAGTGCTGGGATTATAGGAGTGAGCCACCGTACCCAGCCCATCTTATTGTATTTCTAAGGATAGATATACTTGCATAGGAATACTTTGTTCAGAGAAATAATACTGATTTTTTTGCTGTGATTAAAGAAGGTTTTCTTTTCCCACGGGAACTGTATTGCAAAATGAAAATTCACATCAAACTGTTAAACTAACTAAACATTTTATTTTTTCATTGAGTTGCGGAGAAGAATTTGTAACATGAATGGACAATTTTCTGGGGACATAACCTGATGCTCTGATAATTCTAGGGATAACTAAAGTTGTCAATCTTATTTCTATTTCAAGGAATTAGTACTTACTACTATAGTACTAATATACACATAAGGTATTATATATAGTACTAATATTTATGTAGCAAATTTTCAGTGGCATTGATTACAAATGTAAAACAAAACCAAACACAAATATTCTTAATTATATTATGTCTCTATATTATTCTCTGTAAACTTTCTTTATTTAAAAATGTTATAATTAATAAATTTGTATCATTTTGCCATCTTTCTTTCTCTTTCTTTTAGTTGGCGCTTGGCAATGTAATTAGTGCCTTGGGAGACAAGAGCAAGAGGGCCACACATGTCCCCTACAGAGATTCCAAGCTAACGAGACTACTACAGGATTCCCTTGGGGGTAATAGGTATGCGTAGATGATTATCCTTTACTCAGAGTTTTGATTATTCATTATTAAGTAAGCTTGTAATTATAAAGCAAACTAATAGGATGAGGAACGAATCCTTATACTGTTAAGAATCTGAAATGTGTGAATAATTTTGTATGTTATTTCACATAATCCTTCTAGCATCCCTTGAGGTGTAGGTATTATTATTCTATTTTCTAGATAAGGAAAATGAAATCTAGAGAGGTTAAGTAATTTATTCAAGGTCACTTAGCTTATATATGAAGTCAATAGTATGTAGACTTTCTCTCTTATCATAGCTTCTGTTTTAAGTACTTAGCACAGAGTAGATACCTAATATAATTTTGTTGAAAAAGTAAATACTGTTTTCTAAGTAATTACAAGGTAATTTAAATATTATTGGTACTTCTTTTTTTTTTACAAAATCTTCTAAAAATTCAAATTTTTTCTATATGTAGAAAAATCTTCTTAATGTCCACTGAATGAAATACAGAGTGTTGTCTGGTTATTAACTTTGCCAGTATCACTGACATTCTTCTTTCTCATATCTTGCATCATTCTAATATGTTTTTTCAGCTCTTTTTTTTTTGGCGGGGGAGTGGGTAATGTATTCCCTTCTGTAAAGGTGTTGGCTTTACAAATGGAAACATTTTTGGCATTTAAATTCAATCATAGCACAATTCAACAAGTTACCAACAACCACAGTGAATCTATTTTACAGTGTTTGCAATAATGTAACATCGTATTTACTGAAAAGATTATTAGATGCTATACAATAAATCTAGTATTTAAACTTACAAGGTTTCTTTTTGAACAACTGTGTTAGTTCGTTCTTGCACTGCCATAAATACCTGAGACTGGGTAATTTATACAGAAAAGAAGTTTAATTGGCTCACAGTTCTATAGGCTCTACAGGAAGCATGATTCTGGCATCTGCTTGGCTTCTAGGGAGGCCACAGGAAACTTACAGTCATGGGGGAAGGCAAAGGGAGAGTAATCACTTAACAGGACTGGAGCAGGAGGAAGAAGAGGGAGGTGCCACACACTTTTAAACAACCAGATCCTCTGAGAACTTTATCATGAGAACAGTTCCAAGAGGGAAATTTGCCCCCAACCTCTAATCACCTCCCACAAAGCCTCACCTCCAACATTGGGGATTATAATTTGACATGAGATTTGTGCAAGGGCACAGATCCACACCGTATCAACAACTATTATCCAAATAATTTTGGATAGTATTAAATCCTTTTAAGTTTATAATCCATTTGGTTTAGAAATAAAGTTCTGTTTTGGTCGGCTGTGGTGGCTCACACCTGTAATCCCAGCACTTTGGGAGGCCGAGGCTGATAGATCACGAGGTCAGGATATTGAGACCATCCTAGCCAACACGGTGAAACCCCGTCTCTACTAAAAATATAAAAAATTAGCCGGGCATAGTGGCAGGCGCCTGTAGTCCCAGCTACTCGGGAGACTGAGGCAGGAGAATGGCATGAATCCAGGAGGCGGAGCTTGCAGTGAGCCGAGACGGCACCACTGTACTCCAGCCTGGGCGACAGAGCGAGACTCTGTCTCAAAGAAAAAAGAAATAAAGTTCTGTTTTGTAGAATACAACATTGTCGTTTTTATGTTTCTTCCTTTTATGTAATATTGGCATTTTTCTTAACTCATGTCTCTTCCAGCACATCCTATGTATGAATGCAGTTTTCTTTCCACTATAATGTATTTCTTGCTTGTGTTCTACATTTTCAGTATCAAGAGGGGTCTTATTATAACAGAATAAAAATTTTCATTTTTTCAGCCAAGTGTAAATTTTTTCAGGTTTTCTAAATTGTAGCTTTTTCCTATATTTATTTCTTAACTATAAAACAAAGCAGAGATGATAAATGTTCTCCCCTTACAAGTTTAACTCTTGAAAACTTCAATACTTTTGAAAGTTTGCTTACCTTGCAAGTGGTCTAAAATCTTTTCACTGTAGGTCTTGAATTTCTGTTGAGTTTTAGGTACAGCTAAATAGTCTCATGTTCCTCACCCATTTCCTTAATGGGTAGTAATCTCTTAAGGGAGATGACCCCTTCTAATTCCTTTCTTTGTGTGCCTCAATTTTTGCTTAAAATTTTAGGATTGCATTCCTAGTGCAAAAGCACTGTACTTTGTGTAAGCCTTGGAAAGCAAAATATCTTCATTTTTTGAAGTTTATACAAATTAATCTTAAAAGAAAAATTAGATATTTTTGAAAATAAGCTCCATATGTTTATGTGCATAATTTAGTGTCTTTTAAAAAAGTCGAGCTGGCTTTTTTACGTTTACAGTGTTTAATAAACATCATAACCAGTTTATGGCAAAAATTCTGGAAAATACAGGAAAGTATAAAGCATGAATAAAAATCAGTTATATTTCTGGCTGGGCACGGTGGCTCACACCTGTAATCCCAGTACTTTGAGGCCTAGGTGGGCGGATCACCTGAGGTCAGGAGTTCAAGACCAGCCTGGCCGACATGGCAAAACCCCATATCTACTAACAAAAACACAAAAATTAGCTGGGCATGGTGGTGGGCACCTGTAGTCCCAGCTACTTGGGAGGCTGAGGCAGGAGAATCACTTGAACCGAGGAGATGGAGGTTGCAGTGAGCTGAGATTGTGCCACTGCACTCCAGTCTGGGTGACAGAGTGAGACTCCATCTCCAAAAAAAAAAAAAAAAAAAAGAAAAAAAAATCAGTTATATTTCTAATACCTAGAAGTAACTACTGCTAACATTGTGATGTATTTTCTTCCAGATGTATAGTATAACTTAATTTATAGGAAATATAAAATATAATAAAATATTTAAGTGATATAGTTAACTTTAAAACAGAATTGTGGTTTTTTATGTGAACTTTTAAAATAAATAGCTTTAATATTTTCTTTGAGTTTTTCATAAACAGAATCATTGGTGAAATTTATATATTTTGGATTTTGTTTAATATATGACATTTTCCCTATACAGTTGATCCTTGCCAGTTCCTCTCATTCCTGACTTTCACTATTCTTCTTAAGCCCTTGATCCCAGCACTTCTCAAAATATTTGTTAAAGGCGAGTCCTTCCCTTCTTTCTAATTTGTGGTAGGTTAATATTTTGCATGACCATACAGAGCTTGCCCCATTTGTGACTCACCATGGGAGTTTGAAAACACTTGAACTGATCTACATTCAATGAGAGGAGGTCATTGATTACAGGAAGTTCCAGTGTTGTGGAAGTTTCTAAAGTGCTTACTTGCAATTTCTGCACTACTTTACACATTTTTTGTAAAGAAATGAGAAATAGATGTATGTACCTGTGTGGATCAAAGAAGGCTAATATAAATTTATTTTCCCCAATTTTACGTAAGTAAAAATAATCTGCAGACCGGTGCTAGACTGGGGACCACACTTCAAATTTCCCTATTCTCTAATCAGCATCCATAATCCTCACACTTACTGAATTATCTTATTCTCTTTATCAAAAGAGAAAACTAAAGTGGCATGAATTATTTTAACTTTCTGACCCCCAGTAAATATTATATACACATGACACACACCACAAACAATTGTTAATGACCTAATACTGGTTCAAATATGGTGTTATATGTTTAGAAGTACACTGATAAATAAAACTTGATAATCCCTGTCCTTTAGGAATTTAAAGTCTAAGAGTTTTGGGGTCTAGAAAATTTCAATATAATAATAATATAATGAATGCAAAAGAGACATGCAAAAGGTGTGAGGAGGCAGAAAGGGTACAGACAAACTGAGGATTTGGTTCTTGGATTAGGTGATACCTTAGTTGATTGTTGAATAATTGTAACAGTAAGGGTAAGCAAGAATTGTAGGGAAAGGTATGGAATGGGACAAGGGGTACCTACGAGTACTGTGTTGAGATTATTGTAGAAAGAAAAGATTGGAAGCAGGAGACTAGGAGGCTAAGATTATGATTGATAAGCATTGATTTTTCTACCAGGATAAGTAGACTGCTCCTTAATTGCAGTTCCTGCACATTTTTTAGTTAGTTTGTGAGTGTCTATTAGAATCTCCATGTCTGCTTTATTGACAAACATACTAATTGGGGCATACTTAGCATTTCACTATCCTAAACTTTGGTGGCTAAATCAATTTAGCATGACCATAAAGTAATGTTTCCCACTTTTCCTGTGTAATCTGGCCAGAAACTGGAACTCTGATCATTCAGTCACAAATGACAGTTTATATAATGAAACACAAGAATATACTAAGTACTCGTCTTGTTCCAATGTGATTCGATTTTGTGTACAATTCTTTGCTGACATCAAAAGTCAGCATACAGGTGATTACGAATAAGTTTTTAAAATACTGAAAGAATAAATGAATAATGAAAGAAGTGGTTTTTTATTTTCAATATAATATATTGTAGTCGGTTTAATTTTAGAATTACTGCGTGCACTGCTTCAAATCTTTTTAGCAAAGAGGTAAGAAATAAATATATGTGCTTATACTTTCTCAAGGTCAAAGGTGAGTAATATCAGTGTATTTCCCCAAAGTAAACAAAATCTTTTTCTTTAAGACAGTCTTAAAGTACAGGGGCTTTTAAATTTGCTCAATATTTTGATATCTTGAAGAGAAGATACTATTCAAATGTCAGGAGTTTAAAAATGATTATTTTAGCATTTTAGGTGCTTTTATCTGTAAGCCTAACTATTCTTTGTAACTTTCAGCCAAACAATCATGATAGCATGTGTCAGCCCTTCAGACAGAGACTTTATGGAAACGTTAAACACCCTGAAATATGCCAATCGAGCTAGAAATATCAAGAATAAGGTGATGGTCAATCAGGACAGAGCTAGTCAGCAAATCAATGCACTTCGTAGTGAAATCACACGACTTCAGATGGAGCTCATGGAGTACAAAACAGTAAGCTAATGAGTTTGACTGCATTTTGTGATACATCTAAGGCTGGCACTTTCTGAACACAATAATGCCTTACACATATGTGTCTCTGGAATCTCTTGGTTGTCATAATAGTGTCCTCCTTCCTTTTGGAGGTAGGAGTCTCTAGTTTTCCTTGTGGGCAGTCTTTAACTATGTTCAGTCTAACCTATCAACTGTTTGTTCAAAAGCTTTCCTACCCTTTTTTTTTTTTTGAAATGGAGTCTCCCTCTATCACCCAGGCTGGAGTGCAGTGGTGTGATCTCAGCTCACTGCAACTTCCTCCTCCCAGGTTCAAATGATTCTCCTGCCTCAGCCTCTTGAGTAGCTGGGATTATAGGCACCCGCCACCACACCTGGCTGATTTTTGTATTTTTGGTAGAGATAGAGTTTCACCACGTTGGTCAGACTGGTCTTGAACTCCTGACCTCAGGTGATCTGTCCACTTTGGTCTCCCAAAGTGCTGGGATTACAAGTATGAGCCATTGCACCTGGCTAATCAATTTCTTTAGTAACAAATACATTGTGAAGTGTTCTGCTAGAGGCGAAAGGATTTCTTTTGCCTTGGGGTTGGTAAGATAAAAGTGCTCTTGGTTGGAGAACGTATAGTTATAGAGTATCCTGAAGCAAAACTCTTGTGTTTTTGACTCCTCAAGCAACAAGGACATTGTTTTCCTTTACTAGGGTAAAAGAATAATTGACGAAGAGGGTGTGGAAAGCATTAATGACATGTTCCATGAGAATGCTATGCTACAGACTGAAAATAATAACCTGCGTGTAAGAATTAAAGCCATGCAAGAGACGGTTGATGCCTTGAGGTCCAGAATTACACAGCTTGTTAGTGATCAGGCCAACCACGTTCTTGCCAGAGCAGGTATGCGCATAGGGTGGGATAAGTGAGGGATTAACTTCTGGAGGGTAGGGAACATTCTTTGTGTTCACTAATTACCTAGCATAGTTGAAATAGAAATGCCAGTCTCTGTGTATACAGTCTGTGGTTTTAAGCTAAATACCTAATTTCAAAAAATAATAAATTCTTATATAGACAAAATATTCCCTTTATAATGATACTATCTTATGGTCTTCCCATCTAATAAAGGCTAGAAAATTTGCTGTAAGCATTGTGTTTTAAAAAATTACTGTTTTTGTTTCCCGACTTTTTTTTCTTCTGTTTTGTTGAAATCTTAATTTAAAGGAAAATTTTTATTTCATATTTTGTCTTTCAGGTGAAGGAAATGAGGAGATTAGTAATATGATTCATAGTTATATAAAAGAAATCGAAGATCTCAGGTATAGTTATAATGCATATGGTTTTTTGGATTTTGCAATGTTATAATATTTCTGTTTGTTGAGCTTATTGTTTGGGAGTTGTCCATGGTGATATTTCAGCCCTTTGGTTAGGTTAACTTTAGGAGACTTGTTACTTACCTTTCCCTTGATGTCATATTCCAAGCTCCTTTCCTCCCCTCTCTTCCCGTATTATTCTCCTACTCTTACTGCTATATCCCAAAATTGGGTGCTTACCTAACTTGACATATGAAACAGGCAAAATTTATGTTGCTGAAGTTATCTTTGATGTCTTTCCTTTATATGCCTCTTTCCCCATCACTTGGGAATAGATCAATATCTACACGTCATCTCCAATTTTTTGAATCTCCTGTTCTCTTTTATATCTTTAGCTATTCCTGCATGTAAATCATGGCATACTTACTAATTTACCTGCCCCTCTGTGGTACATCTATTCACATTTCATACAACATGCCACACATACTTGCATATGTCAATACCATGACTGGGGCTGGGGGCAAGCATGACATCAAGAGTTCACACTCTAGGTTGGGCAGCATACATAAATCATCACACTTAGTAAACAGAATGACAGAATTTAGTTAAAGGATGCCCATGCCTGGTGTAGGAATGTGGAGGGGAGTAGACTTGGGGAATAGGGTTGGGAAAGAAGGTTAAGTCAATAATATTTTCAGGTTCCAGGGTTTGCTGTGATGACTGAGCTATTTTTTTCTTGAAGGAAAACTCCAGTCAGCTCCATGGCAGAGCATCTAAGTAGTTCAAATCTCACTTCTGCTAACTATTTGTAGAACATAAGCAAATGGGAGGAGATCGTCTTTCACAGTTACCCTGTCTTGTATTTGTGTTCTCTTTCCCTTCCTCTGGCTGTTCTAGAGGTTCTCAAACTGTGGCAAGTACTATCGCCACTGTTTCTGGCTACACAAGGCACATTGGATCTCTTAAATGTTTCAAAAAGCAAAAACAAATGAAAACACATCCCGATGTGGCAATATAGTTATTCAAGTATAATTTTATTCTGTGTGTGTGTGTGTACATATATATTATATATGTTATGCATAGTACATATATATATAATTTTTCATGCTTCATGTTTTTGACAGAGACCTTTGGGCACTACATCCTAGTTCTGCTCAGCAGCCAACCTGGACTTGCAGTTTCTACCCCTTGTTGGCAGTACTGTTCCCCGCCTACTGCTAAAACTTTGTTCTCTGACCAGTCTTTCCTGATTTTGTTGACCCCATCTTTACCACTCCTTGAGACACAACTGATAGCGCTGTTTTTTAATTCTTGAAGATCCTCTTCCTGCTCCTAGGCTGCTTCTCTTATCGCTTTTATTTCTTTGGCACTTGCCAATTGTTAAAGCCGATTGCCTATTCCAGTTCTTAGTCTCTCTTTCCTTTCCTCCACTCTGTATTCTAAGGTTGTACCTCGGCTTTTTGTCACTGTTAGGCAAATTGCTTGACTAATGTCCTTATTTCCTAGAAAACTGCCAGAACCACTTCCACTCCTTCTAGTGGCTAAAAGTAGCATCTAATATCTTCCTTCTTCTAAGTCCTGAGTTAAGACTATTCCTTCCTTAAGCCATTTAGAGAACAGAGACGACTCATGGGCCCTGAGTTCAATCGCTGATCAAATCTTTCCTGGTGTAGGTTAATACCTTGTTCCAGATCCTCAACTTGTCTCCCTGTAGGCCATACAAAAAGTAGATTCTGTTAATGTACCCTGGAGTTTGTGGAGGTAATCCCTAAAAGGCCTTTATTAGCACTGGGATCAAAGAGTCATTGGATATGCCCCTACCAAATGCAGACTTTTAACATTAGGTGAAAAACGTAAATTTTAAAATAAAACACCCACATTATTTATTACATAATAATAAAGGAGCCCATTAAAACATAGATCATTATTGTTAGCTGATTTATTATATTTTCTTTCATTCTTAGCATTCCTTATTAAGTACCCAGGCTTTGTGCTAGAAATTAAAAATATAGAAAAGTGTAATATATTGTTTGTACTTTTCTACTGTTTGATAATCATGAATTTTAACTTTGAGTTTTTATGTGAATTTTCTCTAAAACAATTTTGAAGTCATTTAATTAACCTAGAAGTTTGTACACAGCTATTTAACCACCTAAAAATACAGTAATTGTTCTGCTCACATATGGTATCACATTTATACTAAAACAATTTCATTAAAGAATGTGTAGGACCAGGTAGGGTGGATCATGCCTGTAATCCCAACACTTTGGGAGGCTGAGGTGGGAGGATCACTTGAGGCTGGGAGCTTGAGACCAGCCTGGGCAACATAGTGAGACCCCATCTGTCTCAACTATTTCAAGAGTAGAATGAATAATTTTGGTAGGCAATGAAAAAGCACTGAGCTGACTGTGACTTCCAGAGCTTAGTGTTGCAAATAATCTAGCATCTTTCTCTGAAATATTTGAACATATGACAAAAGTGCTTAGTAATAGAGTGTTGAGAGAGATAGGTTGTATTTTCTTCTTATTTTTCAGTCTCAATCACTATTGTGCCAGACTGACCTTGAAAATCTATTATATGTAAGTAGATAGTTGTATTTTTGATGGTTTAAATAAAATAGAAATAAGGGAATTGGCCTAGAGGACTCTCTGAATCCTTTTAGTCTCAATAATCTAGGTTCTTTTAGGATTTCATTGTTTGATGTCTTCACGTGTTAGGATCAGTGTGTACATTATTCTCCTGTCATTATTAGGACTGCTTGAGCAAACAAAAGAATTTTTTCAATTATCAAACTCAAGTTTCTTTGGAGATACTGTCTTTTCCCATGCTATATTCAGGAGCCAGATGTCTGTCAGCCAGTTTGGGGCAAATTTGACAATTTATTCCTTGCACAGTTTTGGAAATGCTACTACTGTGTGATGAATGAGGAACTGAAACTAAGGGGAGCATGCTGCTTGTGTATTTTTTAAGTTTAAATAATAGGTTTACAAGCAAGGACAACTGATGTCCACTGGCCAGAATTCAAGTAATCTAATTACCACTGGCATCTGAATATGTAGAATTCTTTTGAGTATTAAGATTATGATTGCAAATGTATAATTATTCAATCAGGAAATTTGAAAAAATATTTAAACATTAGTGTTCGTGAGCATTCTTTTGTGATTATTTTTATTTTTTATTTTTTATTTTTTTATTTTTTGAGACGGAGTCTCGCTCTGTTGCCCGGGCTGGAGTGCAGTGGCCGGATCTCAGCTCACTGCAAGCTCCGCCTCCGGGTTTACGCCATTCTCCTGCCTCAGCCTCCCGTGTAGCTGGGACTACAGGCGCCCGCCACCTCGCCCGGCTAATTTTTTGTATTTTTAGTACAGACGGGGTTTCACAGTGTTAGCCAGGATGATCTCGATCTCCTGACCTCGTGATCCGCCCGTCTCGGCCTCCCAAAGTGCTAGGATTACAGGCTTGAGCCACCACGCCCGGCCTTGTGATTATTTTTATTATTTTTTGAGAATTTTATTTAGTTTAAAAATCCTTATCCTGTAGCCATGTTGAAATGCATTTTGGAAAACTTTTTAACATGCAGATTAACTCATTTAAAATGTTCCTGCCTTATTGCTAGAGCAGTCATGTTCATAGAGACAGAACGTAGAATGATGGGTGCCGGAGCTGAGATAAAAGGGCTGAGGGGGAAGTTAATATTTAATGGGTATAGAGTCTCAGTAAGGGAAGATGAAAAATTTCTGGAGATGGATGGTGGCGATGGTTGCAGAACAGTGTAGATTTGCTTAGTGCTACAGAGCTGTACACTTAAGAAATGGTAGTGTGGTATACTTTATGTTATGTATTTTTATCCACAGAGAAAAATACTCCCTATTTAAATATATTTTTATTTGCTAGAGCAAAATTATTAGAAAGTGAAGCAGTGAATGAGAACCTTCGAAAAAACTTGACAAGAGCCACAGCAAGAGCGCCATATTTCAGTGGATCATCAACTTTTTCTCCTACTATACTATCCTCAGACAAAGAAACCATTGAAATTATAGACCTAGCAAAGAAAGATTTAGAGAAGTTGAAAAGAAAAGAAAAGAGGAAGAAAAAAAGGTGGGATTATAAAATCACTGCTAAATGAATCTTTATTTCCTTTTCAGGGTATTTTAATTTGCAATTATAAAGAGCATACATAGTTTCATGAGTACCTTAGTATATGAAATAAATCACTATGTTAGCTGAAACTACAACTATATTTTTAATGGTTTATCTCTATGTGTAAGAAAAATAGATTCAATTGTAATAATATGGTAATTAATTTTATTTAGACCATGACAATATAAAATTACTATTATAAATTATTTTATTATTTCTTCAAATAGCTGCTTTTGCATTCCATTCATTTTGCTTTTCGGCAAAGCTTGCTGTACCATTACAACTCAGTGTTTTCATTTTTTTCCCCGTTTCCTAATACAATTAAGTAGTCTCATGGATATTTTCATCCCTGTCTAGATTAGTTTAACTAAAGGCTAAACTAATCCATCAGAATGTCATGTAATGTCATTTGGTCTCTTAAATATTTTCTGCAGGGCTTCTAATTTGATTATGTGAAAATTATTTATGCTATTTCAGGCTTTTTGAATCTTCCAACAAGGAGTTACTCAGCTTTTCACCACTGTTCTAGGCTTTCTCTTTCTTGCATCCTGATAGTTTGTCCCTCTGAAATCAACTGGGTGCAAAGGAGAGGAAGAAAATGAAAATTTAACCACTTGTAATGTGTAAGTGGTTAAATATTCATAAGTTCTTTACATGTTTACACACTGATTCTATTGTGCAGTCAGATTACTTACAGAGACTATATTTTGAGCATGCCAGTCAAATTAAATTTAAACATTTTTGGCTAGATATTCAAAAGGACGCAAAATCATCTGATTTGCCACCTGGTTTGTTACAGGAGGAATGCTTTGTAGAACTGATGTAGACGTTTAGCCTACGTGCTGCTTTGCTCAGTTTATTTAGAAATGTATTTAGGCAGCCAGGCATTTCTTCCTGGAGCAGCCAGTTGATCAAAGTCATTGGAAGTTTAAATTCTTCAAATTAACTCTGCTTTGTGTTCTTGAGTTTAGAGAGAATAATTAAAACAAGGAATTATACATTATGGTTAGGCATTGCATTTGAAATTACATTCTTGAGATATTAATGTCTTAGATGTTTTCATAGATCATTGATTATGACAGCATTAAGAAAGGTATAATGATTAGCTCTCCCCCTCTGGAGGGCAATTAAAACTGAAATAATGATCATAGGATTATCGAAACTAGTGTTACCCAACTTACTGCTTGAATTAACTTGAGACTTTAGCACATGACTTATCACTGACTTGTAAAATCCACTTCTGTAGTTGGTCAAAATGTCAAATGGTATGACTTGTTTTCAAAGATCTAGGTCATTTGTATTCATAAATAATAAGTAAGTATAAGCAAAGTTTTTTTTTAAGGTCACAACTGATACTGCTTTTTCCTTTTGAGGTAAATTTAGAGATATTTCCTTAATCACTTGTTGAATATGACTAATGAAAAACAAATAAGGATCCCAATAGAAATCTAGGCTATTTTTAACATTTTAATAGTGGTTGTGACTAATTCAGTGATTATGTAGTTGTGATAATTATTACAATAAAAATAATAGATGTTAATACTAATAAGAACTCACCAAACAACTGGATTTAAACATTAAAGCCTAAGTGAAGAAAATAATTCATTTCCTAACAAAAAACCACATAATTAGAGATAAAATATTTGTGAATAAGCCAGATAAGAAATGAAAGATAGCTTAGAATGAGAAAAACAAATTAATGCTTTCTAAAAATTAATATACCTATAGAGTGCTATATGCAAACATTTTAAAGAGCATTTTCACACATGCTGTAGTGTACCTTTGTACACTGACACCTATATAATTTTATAAAACTGACACCTATATAATTTGTGAATCTAAAATACTTTCTTGTGTACTATACCATGTAACTATAAACATTTTTAGAGCCAATTTATAAATTTTTATTGCTACATATAAGAATTTATAACATTTAATAGAATATGTCTTACCATACTATAATCAATTTTTTTTGAATTAAAAAATGAAAACCAATCCTGTTTTGCTTAGTTTGATAAAACATTTTGTTCATCACACTTGGATCCCAATAACTTTTAACTGTATGTCAATTTCTATTTTTAAAATGTAGCTAAGCCCTCATTTAGCCAAAGGATTCCCTACAAGTTGAAAAAATCCAGCATACAATATACCTAGAGTTCCAGAAATGTTTAGAAGGACAACAGCTTTACTAAAGTGCTCAGTCTTCCACAGGAGCTCCTTGGAAGTGATAGCTCCTGTTTCGATGCATTGATTCTGACTGAGTTGCATTCCATGCTTCATGTTTATCTATTTTATCTGTCAGAGAGGGCATTGTAAAATGTGGGTCTGCCTCAACCTTACACATACAGGAGGTTCAGTTAAAAATTAATTGAAACTTTGGCCTAATTTTTCTCTAGCAAGCATTGTAAATACCTGGTATCCAAATTTCCCAGCTCACTCACATAAAATGATTTCTGCCCATTTTATAATATGGTAAGAATAATTCAGAAGGGGGCAAGAAAAGGCAAGACAGGGGAAAGAACCTTCTTTCCCTCTCATAGGTGTAGGCCAGTCTTTGGGGGAAAAATGGGAATTTCTGCTTTAGCCATTCGTTCTTACTAACCTTCCTGTGTCCCCATGCTACCTTGATCCATTCCTCTCTTATGCGGTCCAGTTCTCATGTAATTCTGCCCTACCCCGAAGTGCTCCCAATTTCAAAATTATCTACTTCTCTGATCTCCTTAAATTCAAACTCAGGAACAAAGCCATTTGACTAAAGGAATTCATACCAGTGGAAATGACTGATAACCAACAAGCTTCCTTTGTAGGGGTGTTTGTAATTTTTAAAGAGGATACATTAATCCATACAACAAAATATGTTAGACAGCATAATCTAATGAAAAAAAGATAGAGTAGGAAAGTTTTTTTTTTTTTTTTTTTTTTTTTTAACCTTCTTGTGCCTATGAATTTCTAAAACCTGACTGGGGCTTGCTTGACCTTTGGATTCAGCTATTCTAAGCTGTCCTGGCTTCTATAGCTGCCTCCTTTCCTTGTCACTGAATTCACAAACTCTTTGGAAGCTCTGTGTCTTTTAATTTATTGTTCTGTGTTGTAGATTCTTGGTTGCCGTGGCTGCAAGGCCTCTGACAATGTAAGAGTTGATAGGAAGAGTAGTAACTGGATCATTTTAATGCCAGAAGCTGCATTTGTGTTTAAGAAGGATGCCACAAATGCTGTCTTCTGCATCAGTCTTTATCAGAACTATAACTAATAGCTAATATGTAAGGTTTTAAGGTTTGCTCTTCTACCTTATTGTGCTTATTTTCTGTTGAGCTGTAGAATAATCCAGAGGTGTAGATAGTAAGAAAATAACAATTAAACTATGTTGCATATCTTTCAGTTACACAAATGTTAGAATGGTTGGCAAGAATTGTCATTCTCTCTCTTTAACTGTAGAAGAAACATTGTAGGGGAACTAAATGAAGTAAAAACTGAACTCCTTTAAGTTAGGGAGAGGTGTTAGATTATTAGTTTATTTCTCTGTCCCTCCATTGTCTTTTTGAACCACTGATTGTAATGGTTTTTAAAAAGGCAATTTAGGAGGTGTCTAAAATTTATGTACTTGCTAGCTCATGTCAGCTTTATATTTTAATATAGCTTTCTTGTATAAGCTAACAAAAGTCTCTATATTGAAAATAGAAAATCTGGGTTCTTCGTGAGGAAACCACATTCTCTGAGCCATTGTAGCTCATTATCATTAGTATAAACCTAGAGTAGACATAAAAGTTTTTTGAATTTTTTGTATGTGGACGAGGAAAATTTACCATTCACATATTAAATCCCATATTTTTGGATATCTAGCTTTAAATGACTTGCAACATAAAAAAACTTCACTCATCGATCAGACTGCACTGATTTGCATTTAGTGGTGTTGGGTTGAAACTCTAGAAACACAGATTTCTTAGGCAGTGGCTTTACTTTGCTTTTTCTAATCACTATACTGGACCGTTTGATTACTGTATATTACTTCGTAGACTTTTTCTCAGAAAGATTGCTAGTCTCATCTAATGGCGGCATGTAAGTTGATGTGAAAACAATCACAGACCAGTAAATAAGAATCACATGGGAGCACGTATATTATGAAATTAAAATGAAAAGAACTGGCTTGATAAAATAACTCATACCTCTGATTCAGTCTCTTCATTTTAAAATATTGATGATTCTGAAAAATATTTTCTGAAAAATATTCTGGGCAGAAGTGTTCTATATCAAAATTGCCATGTACTTAATCAGAGCCTAGCACATCTGTCTTTTTTTCTACATGACAAATATTGGTATACAGTACATTCCACTGAGTAAAGATCTCCAAGTTTTAATATTGAATATTCTTTATCTTTAAAACCCTGTACACGTGATATTTCTTATATGTTTCTGGTTAAAAAACAATCTTACTAATGGAAAGTACTACAGTTCTCCCCACCTCTTTTTTATTTGTTTTTTGTTTTTTGCCACTATTGCTTTATAGATATGCCCATTCAATAGTTTATAATAATTAGTAAACTCTTTAATCCCAATGTGAAATTTTATTTTCAAGTAATAAAATTACAGTTTTTCCCAGATATCATAACAACCATATTCATTTGCCTGCAATACCATTTCATGTATAACTTTGAAATCAGTTTTTTTTTTAGATTTAGTGATTTTCATATGTAGTATATTACAACAGAAAGTATGTTTTTAAAAGTAGTATCCTAGAATTTAGTATTAGTGGTATTTTCATATTATGGTATAAAGGCATTACTTTGTGAATTCTTTTAATGATGCCATTAAAAATTCTTCTGTAAACTCTTGAAAGAAAGAATATATTATTGAAAGTGGTCTTTTTTGGGGGAAGCTGAGTAAATTGACCCACTTCAGACTAAAGAAAAGGCATCCAAGCATGCCTAATCCTTATCAACTTTTATAAATTGAGACTATACATTTTGCTGCTGCATAATTTCAACTGATAGTCTATATACTCTTCTTAGATATATTGCTGCTTGATTTTCTACTTACTTTTTATTCATACAAATGTATTGCCTTTTTACTGTGTATTGTCCTTTGATGATATCTTTTAAAATTTATTTTAAAGTCTTCAAGCTCATGTATCATTTTTACCTTCTTATCACTTTCGCTTTTTACTGTCTGGTTTGTCCTTCATTGGCTTGGCCTTCCAATACTGTGCCTCGTGATTTTGAAGGCTACAGAAACTTGAGGAAAGCAATCGAGAAGAAAGAAGGTTGGAATATTTCCCAGGTTTTCTATTAAAATGTTTAAATACTGAGTTGCCATTCACAAGGAAATGTGTTATAGTATTATAGATTGTTTCAGACTAGATAAGCTGGGGTGCTCCTAAAAGTAATGCTGACTTTATAAAACTAACAAGAACACTGTAATACATTTTTAAGAAAGTACTTTTTAAGAATAAAATCTTCACTAGATACTTGAATTAAAATTCAGGCAGTTTCATGTGATTACAGAATAAACTATGATAATTATGATGATGACTTAGCTTTTGTAGGGTAAAAATAGCCCTAAAACCCCTGCCATTTGATTTATTTAAAAAAGAAAAAACAACAGTAATTCTTTGTCTTACGGAAACTTGTGAGCAGAATGGAAATTGACATTTTGTTGTAGCACATGCTGAGTCATGGGTGGGCTTCTGTCTCTCTCTTATTTATTTAATATAATCTTTACTGGAAAAAAACCGTTAAAATGACAACAAAAGGGAACTGTGGCCTGATTACAAATAAGATTTATAAGACATTCTTAAGGTTGAAATAGAAAAACAATTTTTGCTTTTAAAATGTGTTTGAAGTGGACATCAGAAACAGGATAGTTGCTTTTTTCATTGGAAACGAGCAAAATTTAGAATCATATTCTTGATTTGCATTTTACTGATTCAGAATTAGGATTATTTAACCAAGGATCAAGTGATATTTTCCTTATCAGAACTTTTCTTCATAGATTTTCCTAAACAAGTCTCTAGATTACAGTCAAAATGATTAAGAAAACATACTAGTTTCAAGGTAATATTTAACTGTTTTGGAAGCCCTACTTTAGAAATTCATCTTTTACTTAAGAACTTGAGAACTTATACTATGCAATTAGTTAAATGAATATCTTACATTAAATATCTTAAAGTTTAAAATGTTTTTCTTTAAATTATAATTTATATTTTATAATTATATTTAGTATGTTATATAGTATTCTAAAGTTTTTATACTTATATGCCATAAGTCCATAGGTTCTTTAAAATATTCTGTACTTAGGCTATAATTTTAATTTTTTTATCGGTCATACCCTAACTCACCTAAGCAATACATATTTAGGACAACATGTTTATTACTGGAGTTAAATTAAGGCATTAAAATTGTGAAATTTCTTCTATTCTGAAAGGTCAAAATAAGATGCATCATTAAAGTTGTGTGTGGAAGCATTTAATCACCATAAAATATTCAAGTCCTTTAAATGTACTCAGTGAAAGGAGTTTACTTCCATCTTTACATGATCCCTGAAGGATAGCAAAAGCAGAGTGGTTTGGTGGTTACAGAACAATGTCTCAAACATAGTTGTGTGTACAGATCTCCTAGGGATTTTGATAAAATGCAGATTCTGATTCAGTAGGGCTGAGGTGGAGCCTGAGATTCTGCATAAGTAATAAGCTCCCAGGTGATGGAGATGCTTCCAGTCTGTGAACTGAACTTTGAAATGGTCTGGGAGTCAGGATAACTGGTTTTAGTCCTCTTGAGGGGATTAACTTCTCCAGGCCACAGTTCCCTTTTTGTTTGTCAAATGAAGGGGTTAATTGCTAATTCCAGCTCCCAAGCTTCTGATTCTATATAAAGTACTAATTTAAATATCTTCCATTGCTACTTAGATACTTATTTTAGGTATCAATTTGCCTCGGTTTACTGAGGAAAACTTGAATATTTGAGGTATAAAAATTATAACTATCAACTTGTATTTTAAAAGCTTAAGCCTTTAAATTAATAATGTAAAGTTATGACTGCTGATTTTTCTGCATCAGAAGTGGCCTGAATGACTTATAATATATGAGTTAATGTAGACGTAAAGATAGCATTTGTTTAACTGGGTATCAGTGACTTGGAGTAGGGAGTAGAAGGATATGTTGAGTCAAATGTTTGGAATAAGGTGGTTGTATGGCTGTAAACTTAAGTATAATGCAATTTGGTTGGAACTTGAAGTAATACAAGAACAGAGAATAATGAAAACTGTATTCTGTAGCAGTCACAGGTGAGAAAGGGAGACTGCCCAGGAGAGGGAATTGGGAAACCTGCTGGAAGATGTCTCCCTAATAAATAGTCCTTTCCTAGCCCTACACCTTAGACCTAGACCTCAAGTATAGCACTGTTTGAGTACATACTGCTGGCCTTTTAATTGATGATGGATGAAAGGGGAATTTCTTTCTAGATTTTCAGCTTGAACTGCATGATGGTGGAAAATCAGCAGTCCTAGTATATTATAAGCAACCTAAGAGAGGCATTTAGTATATCACACAAAATTATTTCTTGTTTATCATAAAAGTTCTTTCTAGGTGGTTCCTAGTTTTCTTCAAGCTCATTTTTTCTCCATGCAAATGATTTAACAGCACTCACGGATCCCTGTTATAATTTACTTCATTCATTTCCAGTTAAGACTGTTATATTGGTACTCCTACTTGTAATTTCTTCTCTCGCCATGTATTTGCTGTCTCATGCATCTTTATGCATTTTTTTTTTTTTTTTTTTTTTTTTTTTTTTTTTTTTTTTTTTTTTTTGAGACGGAGTCTCGCTCTGTCGCCCGGGCTGGAGTGCAGTGGCCGGATCTCAGCTCACTGCAAGCTCCGCCTCCCGGGTTTACGCCATTCTCCTGCCTCAGCCTCCCGAATAGCTGGGACTACAGGCGCCCGCCACCTCGCCCGGCTAGTTTTTTGTATTTTTTTAGTAGAGACGGGGTTTCACCGTGTTAGCCAGGATGGTCTCGATCTCCTGACCTCGTGATCCGCCCGCCTCGGCCTCCCAGAGTGCTGGGATTACAGGCTTGAGCCACCGCGCCCGGCCTTCTTTATGCATTTTTAAAACTGTACCATTCTACTCCAACCGAGCTAGTACATGAGACACATAGACATGTTCAAACAGAGGTGCTTATGCGTAGTCACAGGGATTGATTTATTTAACAAACCACTTACTTCACATTCGTTATGTGCCAGGCCCTGGGTACTAGGGATGTAATGTGGAGGCCAACAGACATGATCCCTTCCCTTAGGAAGCTGACTGCCTAGTGAGAAATATAGGCACTAAATAAATAATAACATAAACATAAATGACAAACTCTGAAAAGTACTTACAAGGGAAAAGTATTTATATTCATAGTGCTCAGTACAAAAATATCTCTGAGAATAGAAACCTAGAGTTAATCATTAAAGTTATAGTTATAATAGGGCCTAAATGAGATTAAGTTTTTAGCCTAAAAGCTAAAAATCAATCCATATATTAGGGAAATTATTTAATATAGAAGAATATATGAAAAACCAATAGCTGTTAATTAAGCTATTCTGATAAAGTTTTTTTTTCTAGAGGAATTTTACTCAGAGAATATTGTATTATTTGAGTATTTTATTTATTTATTTATTGATTTTTAAAATTTATTTTAATTAACTAATTTATTTATTTTTGAGACAGAGTCTCACTCTGTCGCCCGGGCTAGAGTGCAGTGGCATGATCTCGCCTCACTGCAACCTCCACCTCCCGGGTTCAAGCGATTCTTCTGCCCCAGCCTCCTTAGTAGCTGGGATTACAGGTATGCACCACTATACCCGGCTGTTGTGTATTTTTAGGAGAGACGGGGTTTCACCATGTTGGCCAGGCTGGACTCAAATGCCTGACCTCGTGATCCACCCACCTCGGCCTCTCAAAGTGCTTTTTAATGATTTTAAAATGCTACTATAGCACAAAGGAAATAGTTCATATACAGATTCATTTAAAGTTTACTTTCTTAATGTTATTTAGCTTAATTAAATGTGTGAGTCTAGTGATCAGTAGTGTACTTTCTGTGCATAGTTGATTGCTAAACCCACAAAGGATTAGAGTTATTTGGGTATACAAAACTTCTCTCTTTTCCTCAGGACCACCAGGGCTGAATTAATTTAGCTATAATCATTCCCTGATATGTGTGTAGTTATGGTTGTAGGTACTAGGTAACTGAAGAGGAGAGCCTCCACTTATAAGGTGAATCTTGTGGCAGACCCTGAAATTTTCTATTCAATCATAGGGCAGCCTGAACATTAGACAGTTTTTGGTATGCAAAGACCCATTGTGTGAGACCATAATGAGAAGTGGCCTTGTGCTGTATGGGCTGCCTAAGAAAAAAGAGCCTGTGCCACTACCTGAAGGAGACCTGAACACACTGATGGATGTAGCTAGTGTAGACAAGCTTACTGTGGGCAGATTTAATCTGGAACTTTAAATTTACTCTTAAATGTATTAGGACATCAATAAAAATGTAGTTTTTTATATCATTGTATTAATATAAGTTTTTTGTATTCAAATGAGAAAACAAAAATGTTTGATTTCTTTTGAATTCCAGTTAATTGACTGCTACTGTGATGAGTTCTTAGGGGTGTCGAGGTCTCGTGCTTTCAGGCATAATCTATTCCTCAGTGTTTTCTGAAAATAAGCTTTTCTCTAGTGATATAAATCATTACACTATTGACTGATTGGCAATTTCCATTTTTCTCTGAAGCGTCAGGTAGAATAGCTTTGCTCATTTAAGTGACCAACATTTAAAGTTTGTTTTCACAAATCATTGATGGTTTTTAAAAATCTGAGAGAAAAAAAGTGAATACTTTTCCTTTCTGTTTTAACACCATACCCTTATGTTCCTTTTTTTAGTGTGGCTGGTAAAGAGGATAATACAGACACTGATCAAGAGAAGAAAGAAGAAAAGGGTGCTTCAGAAAGAGAAAACAATGAATTAGAAGTGGTAAGTATGAAAGAATGAACTTGTCAGTTTTAGTCACCAGGTTTGGTTGTTCTTGGTTGCTGATAACTTACTAACTTACTTGTAGAAAAATGAACTGCTTATGATGCATTCTGTTCAATCTATTTCTTTGAAGATGTTTCTTCAGAAATATGAACTGTAAAATATTGACAACTCTCAATCTTATGTATTATGAAAGCATTGTGTTGCAGAGGCAAGGGTAGAATACTATGAGAGATGAAGTACTTTTTGGTTTAAGACAAAATTATTATCTAATAACCTTAACATCTTGGAAGGATTTTTATACTGATGAAAAGTGAATTTTTTTATGTTTCTGTATTTTGTACTCCAGCAGCCTCTCTCAATGAGAGAATCAGTTTGTTTTGCCAATATTTTGCTATTAATTTTCACAAATCACATTTTAGGAAGAAAGTCAAGAAATGAGTGATCATGAGGATGAAGAAGAGGAGGAGGAGGAGGAGGAGGAAGATGACATTGAGGGTGGTGAAAGTTCTGATGAATCAGATTCTGAATCAGATGAAAAAGGTACTTGCCATTTGGTATAAGGGCAAAAATTCATTTTGGGAAGTTGTTTAAACCGTGACAGAAAACTCTTAACATTCTCCATTTCATACTTGATGAAAACAACTTTTGTGACTACTGACCTACATTTGCCTTCCAAGGCTTATGTGCTAAACAAATGAGTTACTTCTCTTGCTGGATGTAGTCATTGTGTGATTTCCATTCTTGCTGAGTACAAATAGCATTGTCCTTGATCAAAGTGAACACTCTTTATCTCATTCACCTTTTTGGCTTTTGGTTTATCCAGGAAACTTTTCTAATGACTTATCAGTGAATAAAAATACCTAGTTGATGGTTTTTATGCTCTTGTTTGAAAGCAAGAATTCTGATATTTTGACATAGTACCAGGATTTTTATTTTCTTCTTTTATAAATAGCCAATTATCAAGCAGACTTGGCAAACATTACTTGTGAAATTGCAATTAAGCAAAAGCTGATTGATGAACTAGAAAACAGCCAGAAAAGACTGCAGACTCTGAAAAAGCAGTATGAAGAGAAGCTAATGATGCTACAACATAAAATTCGGGACACTCAGCTTGAAAGAGACCAGGTGCTTCAAAACTTAGGTAAGAATTATATTTAATTCAAATGAAAGTTCAAGCTGAATCTTCAAAATGGGTTTTTTATCTTTTCCTGTAGAAGAAAAAAATGATAGAAGCCATATTAAACCTAAAAAAGGTTGTTTGTTTTATTTTTGCAAGTCTCAGTTTGTGTCTTTTATTTAAAAGTTATATGTAGCTTGTAAATACTTTCTGACCAGATTATATGTTAATTTGTCTCATAATGTTAAATATTGTTATTTATTTTGTTTTTTCATACTGATATCTGCCTAGGCTGTTTACTCACTTTATACAAATTTATGGTTGTTTTAATGTTTTGATTTATGTTGGGTACATTTTAACATAACATATTAATGAATAAGCTTCAATAATCATTAAACAGAGTAAGAGTAGATAATAAAGAGAGAATGATTGAAAGACACCCTAGTCTTCTGAGATGTGAATGTTTGGGAAGTAGCTCTTCTCTTTGGATATGGACTTTAAATCTGTGAAATAAAAATCTGTGTCTCACAAAAAACATATAAAAATATCCTCTGGTCATTTAGGCTCAGTAGAATCTTACTCAGAAGAAAAAGCAAAAAAAGTTAGGTCTGAATATGAAAAGAAACTCCAAGCCATGAATAAAGAACTGCAGAGGCTTCAAGCAGCTCAAAAAGAACATGCAAGGTTGCTTAAAAATCAGTCTCAGTATGAAAAGCAATTGAAGAAATTGCAGCAGGATGTGATGGAAATGAAAAAAACAAAGGTATTGATTGTTTTTTCCATTAACGTTTGATGTTCAGTATGATTTTGCAATTGGGACAAAAAGTAAAAAACTATTGTGGTTCTTTCCATATTCAATAAAGGTAACCCAATCTTACAAATGATGTACTTTCCTTTGGCAATTAGAATTTGTTTCTGATAGTCATTCCTCATGAAAGCCTTTCTTCAAGAGTAGCTGAAAATCATGTGCTCATCAGGGCTTCTTAGACATTGATGGATATTTCTTCTCTTACAACTCTTACGCAAGCTTAACAAAAACATAAAATATTTCAAATATGCAAGAAAGCATAGATAATAACATAACAAACATTGTATCCACAATCTAGTTTAAAATATTAAGCATTACAGATACACAGTAAGCCTTCTGTTTATCTCTTCCTGATCATATTCCTCATTCTCCAATAGCTAATAACTGTCTTACATTTAGTGTTTATCATTTCTATACATAGAAAAGCACTAATTTTCTTCCCCTGTCCAAAGAGAGTGTGCAAATCCTGATCTGTTATCTGTTTTTGTTAAGGAATCAATTATTTTTTACGTCTATCATGAAAGTCATTGTAGTTTTCTTAAAATAGCAATAAAATAGCAAATATGGAAGTGATTTAGATAGAATAACCATGCATCACTTAATGATGGTACGTTCTGAGAAATGCATTTTTAGGTAATTATTTGTCAAACATGGAGTGTACTTACACAAACCTCGATGGTATAGCCTACTACACACTTAGGCTACATGGTAGAGCCTATTGCTCCTGGGCTACAAACCTGTACAGCATGTTACTATACTGAATACTCTAGGCAATTTTAACACAATGCTAAATGTTTGTGTATCCAAACATATCTAAACATAGAAAAGGTATTGTAAAAAATACAGTATAAAAGATAAAAAATGGTACACTTTTTTTTTTTTTTTGAGAGGGAGTCTCACTCTGTCGCCTCCCAGGTTCAAGCAGTTCTCCTTTCTCAGCCTCCCAAATAGCTGGGACTACAGGTGCACACCACCATGCCCAGCTAATTTTTGCATTTTTAGTAGAGACAGGATGTCACCATATTGGTCAGGCTGATCTCGAACTCCTGACCTCAGCTGATCCACCTACCTCAACCTACCAAAGTGCTGGGATTAAAGGCATGAGCCAGTGTGCCCAGCCAAAAATTGTACACTTTTATAAGCATACCTGATTTTACTGTGATTTGCTTTATTGACCTTTGCAGATATTGCATTTTTTACAAATTGAATGTTTGTGGCAACCCTGCCTTGAGGATGTCTGCTGCTGCTATTTTTCCGACAGCATTTGCTCACTTTGTGTCTCTGTCAGCATTTTCTTTTTAACAATTAAGTTTTTTGATTAAGGCATGCAAACTATTTTTTTGAACATGATACTATTGCACACCTAATAGACTACTGTATAGTATAAACATAACTTTATATATACCGGGAAAGCAAATAAATTTGTGTGACTTGCTTTAATGTGAATTCACCTTTTTGCGGTGCTCTGGAACCAAACTTTCAAGGTCTCCAAGGTGTGCCTGTAAGGTGTGCACTTACCATGAAGGGAGTTCGCAGGACTGTAAGTTCTCTGGGTGAATCAGTGAGTGAATGGTGAATGAACGTGAAGTCCTAGGACATAGCTATACACTGCTGTGGACTTTATCAATACTGTATACACTTAAGCTACACTAAATTTATTTTAAAAACTCTCTTTAGTGATAAACTAACCTTGGCTTACTGTAATTTTTTTGTACTTTATAAATATTTTAAGTTAAAAGAACTTTTTTACTCTTTTGAAATATCACATAGTTTAAAACACAAAATGCATTTTATAGCCGTACAAAAATATTTTTTCTTTATATCATCATTCTGTAAGCTTTTATCTATTTAAAATTTTTATATTTTTTACTTTTTAAACTTTTTTGTTAAAACTAAAACACAAACACGCACAATAGCCTAGGCCTATGCAGAGTGAAGATTATCAGTATCACCGTCTTCAACTCCCCATCTTGTCTCACTGGAAGGCCTTCAGGAGCATTAACACATGTAGAGCTGTCATCTCCTATGATAAAAATGCCTTCTTCTTAAATATCTTCTCAAGGGCTTGCCTGAGGCTGCTTTAGAGTTACCATTTTTTTTCATAAGTCTAAAACAACTATAAAAAGTATAGTATAGTAAATATATAAACCACTATAGCTCCACTATAATCTTATGAAACCACTGTCTTAAATGTGGTTCATTGTTGAGTTAAATGTTGTTATGAGGCACATAACTGTCATTAGATTATTATGTTGTGTAGTTGCTAATAACAACAGTAGCTAAAAATTATTAAGTGCTTTATTAAGTTGTTGAGAATTCAAGTGCCAGGTACTGTTAATACATTTTGTGGGTGTTAACTGGTTGAGTTCTCACAAAAATCCAATGCTATGGAAATATTATTTCCATTTTATAGATGAGCAAACCAAAGCCTAGAGAGGTAAAGTAATTCGATCAAGGTCACACAGCTACTGATAGTAAGCTAAGTATCAAGATTTCAAGTTGCAGAACAACTGAATATCGAATACAAAAAGTATAGAATACTAAGCAAATAAAAATGTATTAGAAACAGAAATACATGAATCTCACAGAAATAAGAATTGCCCATTTTAAATGTGCAGTAAAACTGCATGTTTCCATGTTAAGTATTCGGAATTCTAAGAACTTACTTCCATATATGTGCTTGATTTAATGAATGCTGTGACAGAGTAATTTCAATAGATGTATATACCTAATTGATTAGGTTCGCCTAATGAAGCAAATGAAAGAAGAACAAGAGAAAGCCAGACTGACTGAGTCTAGAAGAAACAGAGAGATTGCTCAGTTGAAAAAGGATCAACGTAAAAGAGATGTAAGTGGATTTTAACTCTCAGTTATGTAAGAAAATTGTACATTGAAAAAGATGGTTTAATAAATGGAGGAAAAATTTCTGGTAACCCTAACTACTAATTGCAGGTAAAGGACAATAGATAAGCATACATATTATAAAATGTCATTTATTACAATATGTGCATTATGGTAATTCAGTATAAGAGTTCATTAAAAAACTGTAATATTATATATTTTATTTGAGGTTTATTTTCCAGATGATGACATAGAAGTAAATGGCAAGAATAACTGGTTATCTCTAGGATGACCAAGGAACTAGTTGCAGTATTTTGTAAGATAGCAAGTTTAGGATGGTTCTGAAGAATGTTTTATCACTAGAAGTACTTATAAATAATCCTAGAGTAACAATCAGCCCTTATTAGAAGAGGCTTTTCTAAGGACTATCAAAATTTTTGTATCCTTTGACTCAAGATTCTACTTTCATGAATTTAGACGAAGAAAATAATCTAAAATAAGTAAAAATACTCTGCATCGAAATCTTCACTTTAGGATTCTTTGTAATTGTGAAAAAAAGTAAAAACAACCAAATCCCTGACAATGGGAGGAATGGTTAAAGGAATTATGGTACATTCCATTTATATTTTGAAACTGTATACCTATCTGAAAAATGACCACACATTAAGTGTAAAGCATGATCATCTTACAAATGAGGGAAAATTCAAAGGATGCATCTCAACATGCTAATTGTAGTTGTGTTAGAGTTATAAGTTGTGGTTGATTTTTTTCTTCTTCTTTTCAAAATTTTGGCAATATGATTATTTCTTTTAGGTGAAAAATTATAGTTATGATTTTTTTTTCTTAAAAGAAGAAGCTGGGTGCAGTGGCTCATGCCTATAATCCCAGCCAGCACTTTGAGAGACTAAAGCAGGAGGATTGCCTGAACCCAGGAATTCTAGACTAGCCTGAACAACAACACAGCAAGTCTCCCTCTTTGAAAAAGAAGAGGCCTTCACTTTTTCCCTTATTATTGGTTAGGTTTCAGCCGTTATTCCTTTTACTTGCTCAACTTTTCCTAAATCCTCCCTGGAAAAATATGAGCATAAAGCATATTTTAGAAAATGGAAATCTATTTTGGGATGTAACGAAGGAAGGGGACAGAGAAAAGGGGGAAGTGAGGTAGAAAAGTGGATAGTGGATATTTTGGCCAGATGACTCCCCTAGTTGGGTTATATTTATTTATTTTTTTCTCCTACTATGTCAGTGTATTTTAATAATCAGTGTATTTGTCATAGGTAATTCCTGGGCATTTAAAATTTTGTTTTTATCAATTTGTTCCTACTGAAATCAAGTAGAAGCACATTCTAACATATTGCCTATTCTTTTTTTTTTCTGTTATTGTTTTAAAAGTTGAGATATAATTCACACATCCTAAAATTTACCTTTTAAAGTGTACAATTCATGTTTTTCGTGTATTCACAAAAGTGTGAATGATCACCACTCTCTAATTACAGAAAATTTTCGTTACTCCAGGAAGATACACTGTACCCATTGGTAGTCACTCACAATTGCCCCTGGCCCCTGGCAGCCACTAATCTACATTTTGTCTCTGTGGACATTGCATATAAATGGAATCATACCAGATGTGGCCTTTTGTGTCTTTTTTTTTTTTTCTGAGGCAGAGTCTTACTTTGTCGCCCAGGCTGGAGTGCAATGCATGATCTTGTCTCACTCCAACCTCTGCCTCCCAGGTTCAAGCCATTCTCCTGCCTCAGCCTCCAGAGCAGCTGGGACTACAGGCATGCACCACCACACCTGACTACTTTTTGTATTTTTAGTAGAGATGGATTTTCACCATGTTGGCCAGACTGGTGTCGAACTCCTGACCTCAAGTGATCCACCCGCCTCAGCCTCCCAAAGGGCTGGGATTACAGGTGTGAGCCACCGTGCCCAGCTGTGTCTGACTTCTTTTATTTAACACGATGTTTTCAAGGATCAACCATGTTATAACATGTATCAACACGTCATTCTTTTTTATGGTTGTATAGATAGAATACGTTTTCTTTGTCCATACATCAGTTGATAGACGTTTGGGTTCTTTCCAGTTTTTGTCTGTTTATTTTATATTTAATGAAAACCTTTGGACAATAGGAATAATTTATTTACAGTGTATGCTACCTATTTCTTTATTACTAATTCATATAAGATATAGGGAGATCAATATTGAACTCCTAGGATGAACTTTTTGAATCTTTTCCATAACATATGATGCCTATATTCTATTATAAAGACACAATGCTGGCTAATCACATATAAAGCTAACATTCATACTCCCTCTCCCTTTTATTTGTTGCCTTGTGTGCATATTGGCCTCCTTTTAAAATTGTTCCTTGTCATATTCATCTTTGAACCCTTAGAAAGTTCAGGGTGACATTTACATACCATATAAAAATATGAATGAGCTTGAGATTTGATTTTTAATAGGAAGAAATTGAATGTAGTAAGAAGTTTCGAACTATATGATAATTTTAGTTTTTGGTAATTCATTAATTTAAAAAACACATCAATTTTGCTTTTATATCAATCATTGTGGCAGGCAATTAAGATATAGTTGTGATAAGATAAAGTCATTTTCTCAAGGAATTCCCATCTGATGAGGCAGAAATATACATAAACCTAAAATGAATGATCTGCTTGAATTTGAATGCAAAACACGAGGGATTATTTGTTAAATAACAGGATTTAAGTACTAGAAAGGAAGTTTGTAGTGAACTGTCATTCTTAAACTTTGTCCAACAATACAGAATTGAATAAATGATAGAACTGGAATTAAGATATAAGTTCTTTCTTTTTTCCTTTTTTTTCTTTCCTTTCTTTTTTTTTTTTTTTTTTTTTAATGAGATGGAGTCTCGCTCTGTCCTCCAGGCTGCAGTGCAGTGGTGCAGTCTTGGCTCACTGCAGCCCCCGCCTCCTGGGTTCAAGCGATTCTCCCACCTCAGCCTCCCGAGTAGCTGAGATTACAGGCACGTGCCACCATGCCTGGCTAATTTTGTATTTTTAGTAGAGACAGGGTTTTGCCATGTTGGCCAGGCTGGTCTCGAACTCCTGACCTCAAGTGATTCTCCCACCTTGACCTCCCAAAATGCTGGGATTACAAGCATGAGCCACCGCTCCTGGCCTCTGAGTTCTTTTTAAGTCCAAATTTTTTTCTTAAATTATATGCCTGTAGAATGGCTTGAAGTAATCCTAATTAGTTATCTTTATTTTGAGAGTACCTGGAAACAAATTAATAGTCAATGCAGACATGTTTTATTGTCCATTTACTTTATCCACCATAAGATCCATAGTTATTACAAGGTACTAATCAATATATATTCTTCCTATGTCTACAACAGTTTATAATTATTGTATATATTATAAGATGACTCTATTGAAAATATTCTAAACTTTGTTTCGTCCTATCTGTGCCTCAAACAGCAACTAAAACAAGATGTCTAACAAAATTAAATAAGATAACATTTGTAAAGCATTTAGAAAAGTACTTGCATGTAGTAAGCACCAAATGTATCAAATTTAAGTATGTAACACAGAGATAACCTTTCAATTTTTTCAAAAAGGGATGAGGTATATCTGTATTTATTTGTGTTTGTTGGGATAAAACAGCTGTACCTGTAATAATGTATACAAGATTGTTGACTCAGATCCTGCTAAGAACTCACAGTTCCCAGGGGTATAGGGAAATATATTTATATAGGAATAGGAGATATTGTGTCTTTCACTTTACTATTTCCACTTATTTAATATTATTTTACAGCATCAACTTAGACTTCTGGAAGCCCAAAAAAGAAACCAAGAAGTGGTTCTACGTCGCAAAACGGAAGAGGTACAGTAAGCAAACTGACCATTTGGAAGCAACATTCTGACTTTGAGATATATGATGTCTTTCTATAGACTAAGATAATGAGTCAACCTCTGCTGCAATTTCAGGTTACAGCTCTTCGTCGGCAAGTAAGACCCATGTCAGATAAAGTGGCTGGGAAAGTTACTCGGAAGCTGAGTTCATCTGATGCCCCTGCTCAGGACACAAGTTCCAGTGCAGCTGCTCTCGAAACAGATGCATCAAGGACAGGAGTCCAGCAGAAAATGAGAATTCCTGTGGCGAGAGTCCAGGCCTTACCAACGCCCACAACAAATGGAACCAGGTCTACATAATTCTGTTCCTGCTGACATAATTTTCTTGGCCATTAATACAGAATGTTGTACTTCAATGAAAAAATGGCTCATTATTTGACAGTACACAATCAAATAAGTGCATAAGTAATTATGCTTGTCTGTTTTATATGATTTTAGGAAAAAATATCAGAGGAAAGGATTGACTGGCCGAGTGTTTATTTCCAAGACAGCCCGCATGAAGTGGCAGCTCCTTGAGCGCAGAGTCACAGACATCATCATGCAGAAGATGACCATTTCCAACATGGAGGCAGATATGAATAGACTCCTCAAGGTGTGGGAAATAAAAAGTAGATATGCTCCCCCTTAGCTGACTGTTAATTTTACTCTTCCAATTTTGTTTCCTGGGTAAATTTAACACTTACCAAGTTTTTGGGGGGTTTTGATTCTACAGTATATAAATAGATGAACATAATTTCTTAAAATCCAACCTGCTTTCTCAATAGCAACGGGAGGAACTGACAAAAAGACGAGAGAAACTTTCAAAAAGAAGGGAGAAGATAGTTAAGGAGAATGGAGAGGGAGATAAAAATGTGGCTAATATCAATGAAGAGATGGAGTCACTGATTGCTAATATAGATTACATCAATGACAGTATTTCTGATTGTCAAGCCAACATAATGCAGATGGAAGAAGCAAAGGTCTGTAATTTTTTGAAAAGTGTAATGGCTTAATGAAAAGTACTTTTGTATTGTTTATCATTCAAAGCACTTTGAGTTTTTACGTGAAGGTGTTTTCTATTTATTGGTCCAATCTAATGCTTAGATTTTACATGTATGCCACTTCCTGCTTGCTTTTCAGATTTCTCTGCTGATTGTGTGATAACATTTATTGTTTATGTAACACATGGGTCATTTTTACATCCCACTTTGAATTCTTAGCTGCTTAAATGTATTTTATCTTTTCAACTAAACCCTATGTTTATTGGGGTAATGATCATATATTGCACCTATCTGAGCATCTCGTTAGCTAACCCAATACTAGGAAACAAATATATGAAACAATAGGCTGTTATCTTCTGTTTTCAGCTCAAAGTAATGGTCATCATATTATGCTGATTTTATATAGGAAGAAGGTGAGACATTGGATGTTACTGCAGTCATTAATGCCTGCACCCTTACAGAAGCCCGATACCTGCTAGATCACTTCCTGTCAATGGGCATTAATAAGGTCAGATATAACCACCCTATTACTGAAAACCTAAGTTTTGACTAATTCATTGTAGTTTTATTTATCTTTCTGTAGTAACCCTTCGCTTTGTAATAAGGAAGAAGATTATTCATAATTGGAAATTATTTCTTTTACCCTTCTTTAGAGTCAGGAAGAGTGAGAAATATTTAGATCAATTTCATTAGCATGTCGTCTATTATGTTTGTTTATTAGAGCAGATAAACAGCTTAAGAAATAATTCCCCTTTTGCTTTAACAAAGGAAAAATTAGAAAAAAATTTCTCAGTATGCAAACAAATTTGGTATCATAACTAATTTAACATTGATTCTTTACAGATCAAAAGTGAATCAGAAAAGAAAAACTAACTTAATCGTTCTCTTATTTTGAATGTAAATTCTCTTACTTTGTCACCTGTAAGAAAACCCTGCCCAAATGTTGAAGATGATAATGGTTTCTGACTCACTTTTTTTTTCCATGTTGGGACTGTTATACTCTCTCTGTTCTTACGCCATCTCACTTAATTTTCACAATGTGCCAAGAGGTAATTATTATTGATCTCATTTTGCATATGAGGAAACTGAGAATCCAGAAGATAACATCTTGGACAGGTGAACTTGTCCATGATCACTAAGCCAGTTAGTGGAGGAGCTGGGATGACTCAACGTCTATCTGATGTCAAGCCCATATATCATAATCATTTGCTATTTGATACAGATCTTTGTGTGGTAGATCCTGTTTCATATGACCTAAGATAATTTTTTGTTGTGTTTCAGGGTCTTCAGGCTGCCCAGAAAGAGGCTCAAATTAAAGTACTGGAAGGTCGACTCAAACAAACAGAAATAACCAGTGCCACCCAAAACCAGCTCTTATTCCATATGTTGAAAGAGAAGGCAGAATTAAATCCTGAGCTAGATGCTTTACTAGGCCATGCTTTACAAGGTAATTTGTACTCGATTTTAGTTAAATGAATTTGCATGGTAGTTTTGCTTTTTCAACATGGTATAGTATATCCCTTTCCCCTATGGCTTGACTGAATAGATGCTATATTTACTCATGCTTTTAATAATTATTCTTTCTTTAATTTGCATGTATACATTTTGGCAAGGTAATTGTTGTCATTCCAAGAAATGATTACCAACTTAAAATGGCTTACTTAACCTTATTAAGCAATTAGTTTTTATGGGCGAAGAAGACCAATCAAGTTTTCGTACTGGTTATCTAAATTACTTAAAATATTAACCAAGTTTCTTTACTTTACTCTGTGTATCTCACTGCCTTAAAAATAAATTTATAAGTGTTTGCTATGGCATCTATTCTACATGTAAATGATACATAATCTTGTTTTATGTGGGAGTTTTTAACATTGGATCTGTTTTGATTGGAGTATTGCTTTTTGTTTCCTTTTTGCTGTTATTTACACAGATCTAGATAGCGTACCATTAGGTAAGTATGTTTAGCTTTCTGTGTATCCTACAGCTGCATGAATTACTAATTGTTCATGTACACTAATTGTGGTACATCTTATTTTAAAGATTTTTATTGGTGGTCAAGTGGTTTTTGCATGATCTTTTTTGAAATGTATCCATGGCCACAAACACACTAAGTCTTTTATCTTTATTAAACATTGCTGATTTTAAAATTCTTAGATGTTTAAAGAAGTATGCTTTTGTTAGTTGTCTCTTTTATTATTTGAGTTCCAGTTGTGGCTCCAGTTTCATAAACCCCCTGGCTTCTTTCTCTTTCTTATAGAAAAACATAATATATATGTTCTGTTAAATTTTTAAAATATATCAATTAATGTGCATCTATTGTTTTAACCCCATAAATAACTTTCTTCTCTATATATCTTTGTGTGTGTGTGTATATATATTCTTATCTGTTTATTTTTGTAAATTTAGGCACACACTTTTAAATATTGTAAACTGAACAAAACTATCCAAAGGATTTTGTCAGAACAGGTTGAAACAATATTGGTCAGGCTGTTCAAGTACCTGGCATTATAACTAGCCCTTTTCCATTCCATGTGTTATCTAGCATGTTTCTTTGCCTCCTCCTTCCTCTGTCCCTCTCACTCTTCGTCTCCCTCCCTCTCTTCCTTCTCCTCCCCAGTTCGTCCTCCTCCTCTTTTTTCCCTCCTCCTCTTCTTTCTCTTCCTCCTTCTTCTTCCTCTCCTCCTCCTCTTCTTCTTTATCTTTCTTGTCCTCCTCCTTCGTCTTTCTCCTCCTTCTTTTTCTCCTTCTCCTTCTCTTTGTTGTTCTTAGTGGCTCAATTCATAGTAATATATGCTCTCTTTTAACTCGAAAGATAAATTATTTGATGTCTTTATGTGCAGAAGAATATTAAATTGGTAATTTGATGAGCAGTGTTACTGTTTTCCAACTTTCTTTTTTTTTGAGACGGAGTCTCGCTCTATTGCCCAGACTGGAGTGCTGTGGCCGGATCTCAGCTCACTGTAAGCTCTGCCTCCCTGGTTTATGCCATTCTCCTGCCTCAGCCTCCCAAGTAGCTGGGACTACAAGTGCCCGCCACTTCACCCGGCTAGTTTTTCGTATTTTTTTAAGTAGAGACGGGGTTTCACCGTGTTAGCCAGGCTGGTCTCGATCTCCTGACCTCGTGATCCGCCCGTCTCGGCCTCCCAAAGTGCTGGGATTACAGGCTTGAGCCACCGCACCCGGCCCTGTTTTCCAAATTTCAAACAAATTTCAATTTTCTGGAGCTTAAAGAAGGGTCAGAAGCAGAGAGTAGGAACTCATTCAGCTAATGTAACCTATGACTCATGGCAGAAATTTGCCCTAGGAACTGGGGCTCTTCTAGACGAAAGGAGCTAAATAAAAAGCATGAGATGAGAAAACAATGAAATTTAAATCCACAGAAGCTAGAAAGTCATAGGTACATTGCTTTAAATATCATTTAGTTGTTCTCCAGTTTTATCACAATCATTGGGCTGTATGCTGGGATTCAAAGATGAGTGAGATGCTGAACTTGTCCTTATGGACTTGATGCCCTGCTGAGGAGGAGAGACTATGAACGGATTATGATATATTGCAGTGAAGGCAATGATTGAGATCTGTAGACTTATGGGAGCACAGAGTAGGACCACCTAACAAGAATGGAGGAGTTAATGAAGGCTTTCTGGACGAGGTGACATTTAAGCTAAAATATAAGTGAAGAAAAAGAGTTAGCCAGGAAAAAGACAAGGTTGAATGGGGGCCAGAGAGTCGCTCCAGGCACAGGGGCAGCAAAAGCTAAGGCATCGGAATTTAGCCACACTTTTGTGTACCTGAGGCCTACAAACAGGTTGATGCTCCAGAGCAGCAAGTTCATGACATGGAATGATGAAACTTAAGGCTAGAAGATGAACCAGGGCCAGCGCCCCATGCTCACAGGGTTGTACTTTTGTAGCTTTTAAAGAACATCCTGATTTTTCTGTATCTGTGTTGGGATCCCAAAGGTCACCACTATCATCAGAGATTTGCTAGAAGACTCACAGGGCTTAGCATATGGTTGTATTCATGACTTAAGATTTATGATATCAATGTTCATAAAGGGAAAAGACACAGATAGCCTCTGGAGGAATCCATGTCCAGGCATTTGTATTTCTCTCCCTCCCATGAGAGATCACATAGAGTGCTTTCTTTCCCCAGAACAAAAAACACAGCAATATTGGTGCAATGTTTATATCTAGAAAGTCCAGTAGATGCTCAGTGCCCAAGGGTTTTACTGGGGATGGTGAGTGACATATGTACCTTCTGTTGGTCTAGACTTCCAGAAGGAAAGCAAGTGTTCAGCATAAGCCATATTATTTGCAATTTCTAATGTACAGTGAGCCACTTTTATTGGTTAATAGTTGACTGGAGACACTCTGAGAGCTGTTTTCGTATGTCAGCCAAAGTCCAGTTTTCCAAGCAGACCTTTCTAAGGACAGCAGTCTCAGGGGCTGCAATGTTAAATTTTTAAATATATAATTAGTATACGGAAACTACACACACACACACACACACACACACACGTTTTTAAAATAATAACTTTAAAGGAAGACGTTTAAAAATCCAGTTATTTGGTTAACTTCCAGTGAAGTGAGACAGTGAAACTTTATAATGATATAGATTAACTTTAGGGTATTTGGGAGTTTTGTTTTGTCTTTGTCTTTAAAGCTACTGTGATAAAAGAAGCTAATTTTGGGCTAGAGTTGTGTTCTCAGAGTTGAGAGTACAACAGTGAGTTGTTGGTGTGCCCTGCTGCCCAGATTACTATAATACTTCAGACCAAACTTGGTACTGAAGAGGGTCTGAGTTGGTGACCATCTGGGTGGGATCCTCTGGGCTCTGGCCAGACTGGTTCTGTGAAGACACCATTATCTCTAACTAAGGCATACAGGCATAAGCAGGAGTTAAGAGCTTTTTACAAAGCACTTGCATGATGTTTAACATTTAATTCCATCACACTCTGCAAGATAAATACTAGCAAATCTTAGCCTGCTGTTAAAACACAGAGGGAAAACAGAGGCCAGGTTTGTCATTTCTTTATAACATAATTTTCTATATTCTTTACTAATTCAGTACCTTAGAACTCAATTATCCTTTCTGTGAAGCAAGTCCTTGAGCATTCCTCTAATGAGATACATATTGCCTTCAAAATCACCATTTTTTTTTAACTTCAGAAAGTAAACCCCTTTGAGTCCTAGATATGATTCTATTTTAGATAATAGTACCAAGTCTTACTGAACAATGAGAAAGGAAGGGAACACTTGTGGAGAGAAATGAATCAATTGACTAATGTTGCCATAGTCTACCTGTATTATATAAAATTTAAAATTAAAAGGGGATGAACTGTATATATTGTTCTTTAATGTATATGTTGCCCATAATTTTGTCTTTAGATTTATGAAATGATTTTTATAATAAAATGTATACATTAAAAGAGCCTACACCGATGTTAGGGGCTTGCTGGCATTTTAAGTCGTTTACTTTCTGTGGCTGTTTTATTTACTGACTTCCTAACAGTTTTATATGTTTAATTCTTCTCCCTTTTCACTAGTCAGCTACAGTTGTTCTGAAATAGCAGTGATTTCTTTGTATTAGTTTACAGAACTGTTGCATGCAAACCTATTGGTTTTGTCTTCTGTGTTCATGTGAATGAGCTGCATGCTGATGTGTGACTTCTGAACACCCTCATACACACCTTCTCTCTTTCTATATGAAAGCAAAAATACAGAAATTAAAAAAGGAAAAATATCTAAGTACATTGGCATAACTGATAAAGTATAACAACTATATTTATACTTTATGTAGTATTCTTGGTTGGCTTAGTACATTAAAGGAGGCCCATGTAGCATTTACTTTATGTTTTTAAACAGTAGATTCTTGTATGTTTGGATGGTACAGGATACATACATAATTCTGCAATAGTCATATGTACCCATCTCATTCAGAAGGATGTTATTCTTCTATACTCTACCATTCAAAGTCATGGTTTTCCTATTTGAACATGTTTTACTCGTTCTAGAACACACAATCAAAGGAGAGTTTTTAGAAATACTTTTCTACAATTCTATCTATTTAGATTCAGTTACTAAAACCATCGTGCCCATATTGAGATGTTGAGCTGTTGTTTATTACAGCATATGGATTGCAGTCACCATTCAAACTGTGACATGGGGACAATGCTTACATTTTAAACATTTTTTTTGTAGAAAACGTAGAGGATAGTACTGATGAAGATGCACCTTTAAACAGCCCAGGATCAGAAGGAAGGTAAGAAGGCCTTTAGAAACAATAGAGTTGACTTATTTACATAATATTTTAAATACTTTTATCTTGTTGTATCAAATAATTACCATAAAACAAATAATTTTCAATCTAATGGCCTAGTGAATAGCACTTAGAAACAGTAAATAGAAACCAAGTTAAGTTACGCTTAACCATCATACATTTTAAAATGAAAATATTGAAATATTTAAGGAACATAAATGAATTATTTTTAAATTAGTTCATTTTGACTTTAAGTATTGTCTTTCTGTATTTCCCATAGGCATATACATTTTTTGTAGTCATTGATATAGAGGAGCTATAGCTTTCTATAATAATTTTCTATTTAATCTTGTGCTTAATTATTTATTTGCATATAGCACACTGTCTTCAGATCTCATGAAGCTTTGTGGTGAAGTGAAACCTAAGAGCAAGGTAAGAAGAACTGAAAGTATCAGGTAAACATGTTTTACACTGTTATTTGTTATTGCTATTAAACACATAGGTTCAGATTTGACTCTTAATAGATTAGCAAGAGGGCCTGGTTTTACTAAAGATCTTCTTTATTTAGTTTTTTTAATCATATTTCCCTTTAAGTGGTAACTGAAAAAATTTATATTAAAAAATTTCTCTGGCCAGGTACAGTGGCTCACACCTGTAATTCCGGCATTTTGGGAGGCTGAGGCAGGTGGATCATGAGGTCAGGAGATCGAGACCATCCTGGCTAACACGGTGAAAACCTGTCTCTACTAAAAATACAAAAAAAAAAAAAAGCCATGCGTGGTGGTGGGCGCCTGTAGTCCCAGCTATTCAGGAGGCTGAAGCAGGAGAATCTCTTGAACCCGGGAGGTGACGCTTGCAGTGAGCTGAGATTGCGCAACTGCCCTCTAGTCTGGGCAACAGAGCAAGACTTCGTCACAAAAAAAAAAAAAATTCTCCTTGGTGGAAATTGGGCTTTACTGTATTCTTATATTTTTCCCACTGGATAACACAATTATGGACGGTGATTCTTAAGCTGCTGATTAACTAAATTGTAGACTGTGTAGTGCCATACAATATCATTAGATTGGCAGGAGATTTCTTAAATTTTAGCATTCGAGTGTGTTCTTAAGTATTTCTTATTTAACCGTGCCTTGAGGTGGTTTTAATAATAATCCAGTCCGTAATTATTATGTGTTAAAAACTTACAAAGCTATAATGCATATTTATAGGGTTTTTAAAAAATGATATAAATTATACACACAGTTAAATGTGTGAGCTACCTAATGGTACATATCAGGTTGAATGCGGTAGCATTTGATAGTAGGTGATTTGACTAACAATCCTACAATGTTTGAAAACAAAGAATTCTTGCGGTGCTTATTGAATATTGTTGAGTGAATGGATTGAATCAGGACCTGAAATAATAATGCTGTGCAATGGGTAGTGTATATTTAAGGCCCACAGTGGTTAATCAGGTAATGCAAATGACTAATTTAGCTGGATATACAATAACAAATGGGTCATCATTATGACTACCTGGAGAGTACATGTCCCATCTAAAAGGAAATAGCCACCATCAAGTTTTGCTCATTTTTACCATGTGGGAATATGAGCCTAAGGCTACCAGATCCTTTGTTTTTTCAAGAGAATTCTTAAATACGAATTTTTACATAAATTTCTCAGATTATTAAAACACTGGTCAAGCCAATCAAAAAACATCTCCAGGCTCTTACACATGGTCTTTGAGCTGTTGGCTTGGCAGCATGTAGTTTGTGTTTTATTATTCTAAGTGTCTAAACAGAAGTTAACAAAACTCAAAGAAAACATTCTGCTATGGTTTGGATCTAGTCCTAAGCAAAGGAGAGAATCTCTTAAGATAAATTTTATCTTTCGGGCCCTGAGAAAGCCTATTTAATTATGCCACTGTGGGACATTAGAGAGAGATGTGAAGTGGTGGCCTAAAGGTCATCTCCTAAAAGAACCCCCTGGGTTAAGAATTCCCAAGAAAAATTTCATCTCTGCTCTAGGCTCTTGGCTGTGGAGAGAATTAAGAGTGTAAAAAATGGCTACAGGGCTTTCTCTTTTCTGAAGTGCTACCTGCTACTCTGTTTGAACTGCTAAGATGCCTGAAAAGCATCTCATATCATTTCTTTTTCATTTATTGAAAAAAATGAAGTTGATTATATATTTTAAATTTGTGTGTACCAGCACTGTGTTAGGAGCTGGGGCTATACAGCTTAAAAAACAGGTTTGCTGCTTTCTAGAGGCCTATAATCTGGTAAACCACTTGATTATCTGTTCAGTGACATCAACAACTAATTGAGCAATAACCGGATAGTCACTTGGTTTTCAAGAGTAAGGAAAGGAATGCTTATAGTGCGTTTAGATTTTAGGAAAATAACCTTTACTTGCCTCAGCAGGCTGCCCAAAGCTGATACTGGCTGGTGTTATCCAGTGGGCAGATTAAACATCTCTTTAAGGTATCATGGGAAGAGGCTTACAATAACTGAAAAAAACTTGTATTAGAAAAAGAAATTAAGCATGGGAAAAAACAGGATTTAGTTGAGCTTCCCTGCAATTATCTTTTGGTTTAATGTCTTTCTTCCTTTTTTTTTTTTTTTTTTTTTTTTGTTAAATTATATTTTGAGGGAGCTGGCTGTAAGTGGCAGGAGAGCACAGTAATGTTGGAGGCAGACAGCCTGGCTTTGAATCTGGCTTTGTCACTTACTAGCTGTATGACCTTGGGCAAATTACTTAGCTTTTTTGCGCCTCAGTTTCCTCGATTGGGAATTGAGATAATGATATTACTCCTGCTAATATAATAATGTGTGTGGAACAGTGCCTGGCATATAAGTACAATACAAATGTTGGCTATTATTTTGTCCTCTAAAGGTTTTGTCCAGCTATAGCTCAAGCTTGTCACTATCTCACATGCTATGTTTGGCACACCTTCTAGGAAAAGACACGCTAAATGTTTTTACTTATTTCAAACTCATATAAATCTCTGTTCCTTAATCATCTTCTATGCAAGAGTTTGCTCCTGATTGCTTTTGCTTCCATTCTTTGACTAGGCCCGAAGGAGAACCACCACTCAGATGGAATTGCTGTATGCAGATAGCAGTGAACTAGCTTCAGACACTAGTACAGGAGATGCCTCCTTGCCTGGCCCTCTTACACCTGTTGCAGAAGGGCAAGAGATTGGAATGAATACAGAGACAAGTGGTACTTCTGCTAGGGAAAAAGAGCTCTCTCCCCCACCTGGCTTACCTTCTAAGATAGGCAGCATGTAAGTTTGGCCCAGCTACACTAACTTCTTTTCTTTTGGCTTTTTTTTAAAAAAAAAAAGTATGCATGTTGCTAATTTCTTATTTCTATTATTTAAAATTTATGTAAATTTGATCTCTGGTTTTCGAAGTAATTTGTTAGGTGTTGTCTCCCCTAATTTATTGGAGAGTTGAAATAATTTGAAAGGTCCTTTGTTGAATTGCTTTGTCTTGTTGCCAAGTTTTAGGATCATTCTTAAGAGTTATAATTTTTATAACATCTGAGTTGTGAATTACAGACAATACTTATATAGAAACACCTAAATTAAAGTTATACCTATAAAACTGTTATATAACTATTATGTATAAACAGAAAGTTTAGACTCTTAAATTTTCTCTAAATTACCTATATCCTAGTTTTGAGAGAGCTGTCAGGATAGTAAATCTTTGCTGACTCTTTTTAAAGAAAAAAGAAAATACCAATTACAAATTTAATAAATTTTGAACTTTCCTAATTTTTTACCTTGAAGCATATTGTTTATGTGGGATGAGTGACACCCCAAAAAATATTTGTATTGGTATTATTAAAGATTTGAAGGAGGAAATATTCTCTTTCTTATGATAATCTGAAGAAAAAACCTTCTATTCAAAATAAATCTTGCATAGACTATTTTCAATTATTATCTTGAGGACAAAGAAAGATTTTCCCACATAGTCCTGTGTGTGTGCGTATGTGTGTGTGTGCATATGTGTGCCATGTGTGCATGTGTGTGTTTTGATAGTTATATTAATATTAGATTAGTCATTCACTGGTAAAGATTGTTAACGTCATTTTTCAAACTAATCCTCACATGTGATCTAGCAGATAATTTATGGAATGAATACATCTCTGCACTGAAGAATATTCCCCCCCCCCAAAAGTGGCACACACTATATGATCTGTGAATAATACGAAATAACAAACTTTCCACACTTGAATAGCCGTTTCTCATAATATTCTTCATTTTATGAGGATATTTCCATTGTTTTCCATTCAGTAATCCCATCTGCTACCTTTTGTTCCAGAATTAATTTTAATGATGACAGAACTTTCTTGCATGTGCTTGAGGTGGCCTATGTAATTAACCGTTGGATCTGCTGTTAGAGATTGCTAACCATTGTAGTTTATGGCTTCATTGCTTTTGTGATAAGATGAGAGTAGAAGAAATGCTTTTGGTGAAGGTAGTGATATAGAACTGAGGTCAGATTTTAGGAACTAGCATGTGTTAGGTGTTTAGCTTGTCAGATGAGTGAGACTTGGGAACTTCAAGACTAAATCTAAGGCCTGGAATCCAGATTCAGGTAATCTCTTCTATTTGTCTTTTTACATTTTAAAAATGTATCGTTTATGACAGGTTATAAAAAATATCTTTTGGCCTCTGCCTCTAGATAACTTAGTTTATAGTTTTCATAATTCACATGCTTATACTCACATATTTGTAATTCTTTATACATTGTGAGAGTTTGGTCACTCACTTAGTGCATAACTCTTCTAAGCCATTACTGCGTAACTTTTACTCAAGTGATCCTTGTACTTTAAATGATGCAGGATTGCTAAAATGTGATTTCCTGATTAGAAAAATCAAGTACACAAAATTTAATTACATTTAGTTTTCGCTTTAAATAGGAATCATGTGAACCCATTCTGGAAGTCTTGCTGTCTAATTCCTTAGTGGGTTTTTTTTCCCCCAGACTTTTTCTTTTTTTTAGGTGGAGTCTTGCTCTGTCGCCCAGGCTGGAGTGCAGTGGTGTGATCTTGGCTCACCGCAGTCTCTGCCTCCGGGCTTCAAGTGATTCTCCTGCCTCAGCCTCCCAAGTAGCTGGGATTACAGGCGCCCACCATCACACTCAGCTAATTTTTGTATTTTTAGTAGAGACAGCGTTTCACCATGTTGTCCAGGCTGGTCTTGAACTCATGACCTCAAGTGACCCATCCACCTCAGCCTCCCAAAGTGTTGGGATTACAGGTGTGAGCCACCATGCCTGGCCCAGATATTTTTTTTCTTTTTTCAGTTAAAATTCATTACCACCGTATACAAAAATTATTTTCTTGAATTTTAATTACAAGCAGACATTTGGCATTTAAAATATTTAAGGCAAGAATACTTTATTACTAAAATATACATAGATACAAATTAAATACTAGCTAAGTAAAATAATTATGTATTTTTGTATGTATGATTACCTATAGAACTATTTTGTGATTGTGTCTCAATATTAATTCGTTAAATCTCGTTGTTTCTTAAATTCTGATATGCTAATATTTTTGTTCTTACAAAACTATAAAGACAATTTTTCTTCATCTGAAATAATTACCAGTGAAATTAAAACACATCCAAAATATTTGTTGTAGCTATTTGGCAGCATATCATTGATATTTATATTCAAAGATGATAAGTTGTTATATATTTAATAAGATCACCAGTTTAAAAATTATGGTTGTTGAGCTTCCATCAACTAAAAATAACTCATGTAATATTTTCCTATGTTAGTTTTATTTTTTGTTCTCAAGTAATAATCTTTCTCAGGTTCCAGTTATTAACCTATTGCAAATGTTAAACTGTCTACCAAAGTTGTATGTGCAAATTTAGAATTAGGTAATTAAAGAATCTTATTTTACTTTAGTTCCAGGCAGTCATCTCTACCAGAAAAAAAAATTCCAGAGCCTTCTCCTGTAACAAGGAGAAAGGCATACGAGAAAGCAGAAAAATCAAAGGCCAAGGAACAAAAGCAGTAAGTGACTAATGTTTTTTACCTGCTAGACTGTATTAAATGCCTGCTGCACTTAGTGCTAAAGACAGTCATGAAATTATTTTCCAGATTTCAGCTGGCACTGTGGTTATGACTATTTGACTATAATCAAGACAGTCAAGTCAGCTTTTGGCTTGACTCAGTGGTCTAATATTCTTGGTCATATACATACTTGTAAAAATATTTGAGCACTTGTCCCTGAACGTGTCCACTTACTTATTTTCCAGTTATTTGTGTATATCATTTTAAGAGTTAATATATACTTGAGGTAAGGCTTATTAAGTCTATATTTCAAATAGTCTTCTATTAATAGAAAAATTTATAATTAATTTTGACCATCATTGCAATGTCAGCTAAAACTGACCTTGACCCTACCTCTTTACAGTAGCTGACAGAAAAACTAATAAATCATAGGGTGTGTTGTTGTGCCATTTTCTTGCTGCTCTCTCATGTTTACGTTGTTGGTATTATCCTCAGTGTTTTTTGTGTGTGTTTTGTGAGGGTTAGTTTACTTAGCAGTACATAATGTAATCTGATGATCCACTTAACTGGGCATTTAAAAATTGCAGCATGACAGCATGCAGAAGTTGATTGGATTAGAACCAGTGTTACCCTGCCACCCCTCCCTCAGTTTGCCTGTTCTGCATGTGACAGGTAGATCTAAGACATGTCCTTGAGGGAAAGCATTTATGCGAATTTACATTTAAATATTATGGAAGTAAATTACTTTAATTTCTTTAACAAAAAATAAATGTGAATATATTTAAAAGGAAGTGTTCATTTATTTTCTGTGCCTAAATGGACAATTCTATACCATCCACTACCCTGTACCAAGATGCACACTCTCCTTTTTGACCACGAGTTTAACTGACTTGAATGTCATAGAAATTATCCTTCTTATCACCCTTGCTTCCTGTACTTAAAGACGTATTTTGCCTGTTTCTACTGAATTGAATCTCTCAAGAATAATTGGGAAATGGGGATGGAGCGCATAAGTGATTTAAAAATAGATGAATGAATCAACTGAATAAGCAAACTTCTCATAAGCTCTCTGGGTCTCTTTCCTCATCTGTAAAGTGAGAAACTTGCTCTTGATTCTAAAATTGTATGATTTTAAATGTGGCTTGCTTTATTTTTATACTGACTTCTGATTTCAACAGTCAGAATCTTCTCTTTAGTGCCATCTTGTGGCCAATGTAACAAAATCCAGTGAAAAAAGATTTTAAAAATTGTTCAGAATGCATTTTATCTTACCAATAAGGAAGAGAGAAAGGAAAGAAGGAGTTCTCTAATAAAAAGATTTTTTTTAAAGAGCATGTTTCTTATAACTTTTCTAACAAATCATAACAATTAAAGCCACCTACTTTATGTTCTTTTTTTCTTGTAGCTCAGATTCTGGAACTTCAGAGGCTAGTCTTTCACCTCCTTCTTCCCCACCAAGCCGGCCCCGTAATGAACTGAATGTTTTTAATCGTCTTACTGTTTCTCAGGGAAACACATCAGTTCAGCAGGATAAGTAAGTCATTATGGAAAAGAGCCCCAATTATATATATAATATTCTGAACCTGTCAGTACAGTCTGTAGAAAACATGTAGTCATCTCTGTGTAGGCGATGGAGCCTGACTTGTGAACTCTTACCGTATTTTATGCATCTTTCCAATGGGAAAGGAACCATGCAACCAAAATTAGAGAAAATTATTTTCCTGCTGAACATTATTCCCTGTTGTAGATTTGTATTGCTATTCCTTCAGCACTTGTCTTGCCTTTTGTTTTACAAGTAAATTAGAACTGAAAAATCTTCGAGACCACTTGATGTTTAAATTTTTGAAGATTCCTTAGCTTCTATAAGACCACAAAAGCCTCTAATTTAGATAGCCTGAGTTGGAAAGAGGCAAATTACTTTACTTCTGGGGGATATAACAGTTTACAAAGACCATTGTTACATGTGCAACATGTTATTGTCATCTGATTGTTCTAGACAAGTTCACCACAAAATTTCAGTAATTGTGTTCTTGGAATAAAACAATCACCTTTACGGATGGAGAGAGTAGGACTGGGAGCGGGGTGGAGAAGTTGAAGGGATGTGGAAAATGTAATTGTCATCAAATTTGAAATGACAAAGTATCCACACATTGAGCCAGAATCTCTCTTGCAAGAATGCCGTACTAACAATACTGCCATAAGGTATTTATTAACTCTGACTTGTCTGCTTGGACTTGGAATGATAATGATTGTTTTCTGCTATTACCACCCTGTATGTATCAATAATCTCTAAAATTTATAGGATGCCATTTAAGATCTGTCTGGCATGTTTAGGTTATTTTAAATGGCTCTATAAACTTAGAGAATCATGCCATAATTTTTAGAGAAGTATAAATATGCTTAATTTATGGATAATTCTTTTATTTATGGATCCTTCATTAGATTTTAATATGGTTTAATTAGTAGAAGACATGTTCTTTAAATTGATATAGGTAGGTAAATATTTTCCTATGTTATTAAACAAAATACTCTTTAACATTGTAAGTTATTTCTGTCATTAATTGAGAAAAGTTGAACATTAGGAATAGTTTTGGGAAGTCAAGTTTCACTAGGTATATGAAGAGTTGCTAAATTTGTGTCTACCTTGCCTTCACAGTCAGAACATTTTCTGTCAGTCTTTTGGTAATCCTGACAACCTAATCACAGTTCCATATTTTTTACTGAAACACTTTATGAGCTACCAATAATTTGACTCTTTTGTCATCTCTATAAACTAAAATCTAGAATAACTGACTACTCTACACTTTCAAAAACTTGCCTACCTCCTTACATTACTTTCTCTGGGGCTACTTTTTGAGACTACCATATCCCACTAGCAAGACGCAGATCCCGCACATTGTTTCTAGTTACATTCTATGCCAACACTCACCATATCCTCATTCTCCTCAAGCCTGTTGTACAGTCTAAATAGATTTTCATAATAACCAGACTCACTGCAGTCTTGGAGGCCTCAAGGTAGGGCTAACAAGAGTGACTTGTCTATTTTAAAAGTCCACTAAAGTACCCCAGCTATTATTAAGATGCTCTCTAGTCAAAAGAACTCAGTGTTTTTGAAATAAGCTAAAACCAAAGGTTGTTAAATTTTGAGTGACTTGCTTTCTATGCAAAAACACAATCTATTTGTGTAACTTCAACATTAGCGTCTGTATCTAAAGTAATCATTATCAAGATGAATGAAATTGATGAACTGTTATTGAAATGGGAAAATTTTTCCAGGACTAGCCAAATTAAATGGAGCAAACCTTCAAGGGCTATATCTCATGTACTTGATATTGTTCTTCTCCAAGGACTAAATTTCAGAAGTGAGGATAGATTTTGTATATCAGTATTAGAAAAATTGTAGTCCCCAAAGTTTTGCTAGAAGACATAAATATCAAACTCTTTACGTGACTTAGCTATACCTTAAATATGCTAATATCCAGTGCAAATAGAAAAGCAGGGCACTATGAAGGAAATGTTTGCTATATATCTGTTATTCATGCTGTTGATTTTGAGTCCAGAGTCAGTGTCCTTACCTGTTGACATCTGTATTCTTTCTCTCATAATTCTAACTCTTTCACTATAGGTCTGATGAAAGTGACTCCTCTCTGTCGGAGGTACACAGGTACTTTCTTTCCTGCCTTTCCTACATTCTGGAATTTCATTGATGTTCTAAAATGCCTTCCTAGAAATTCTAAGCAAGTTTCTTTTTTGTTGCATGCATCACTTGCTGTAAATCATATAAATGCACTAATATTTCTAAACATGATAATTTTAATACATTTTTGTGATCATACCTTTTAGATAAAGTAGTGGGTTTTTTTGTATAATAGTTTAAAAATTGTGATACCTGTTTTCTGTCTGTAATCTAAATCTTTTCTTTAAAAGAAATCAAGTTTTGTGAATATTGATGTCAAGAAGGTTTCTTATTCTCAACAATTAAGTATTTCTAATGCCTCAAAGTATGTGAGGTAGATAAGGTATTTTTTTTTTGTTGGTTTAGCAATTTTAAGTAAAAAGATTATATGATTAAAAATAAAAGTATGCTAGAGAAAAAAAGGATACTGTTGTACCAAAAATTAAAAAAAAATAAGAAATAAACACTAAGGAAGCATTTTTTTAAATGAATATTTTTAAGAATAGGTGCAGCTTTAAAAATAACTGGTATTTTTTTTCTCATGTTATGGATTTTTCTGGGGGTCCTTAACTTCTCTTTCCCTTTCTCTCTGTCTCATTCCCTTTCACCATTATCATTTTATGTCCTCCCTCTTTGCACTTGTTTTCCTTGTTTTACGGCCATTTTGCTGATCATCAGCAGATCCTCCAGAAGGTAGGCAGGGGAAGGGAGAGGAAGTTAATTTCATTTCCAGTATGAAAAGACCTTACAGGTTTGCATGGGACAATAATAAGTGTTTGTTTATTTTTTTCTCCTTCAGATCAAGTCTGTTGTACAAATTTGCCATATTTAACCTTAAACTCTTTTAAAGTTGATTTTGTATTTCAAAATATGAATAGATTAATTTGAATAGAGAAATAAATACCATGGCTATATGTTTCTGATATCTATAAGTTTCTGTTATCTTTGGTAGTTTATATAAAATATTAATCCTAATATTCTGAATATTTAAGAACATTTTAAAGTATCTAATTAATAAAACACTATGTTTAATATTGAGATTCCTTTTTCTCAAAAGACTGAATAACAAATGACATAAAAATACATAAGAATCAAAAAAAGACATCCTGATCTCCAGGAAATAACTGTGCAATACATAAGTCACTGGGGCAAATATTTACTGAGTATTTTATGATAGTATAACCTTTGATATGACAGAATTGTGTTGGATGTTACATTTAATATTAATGTAACATAAGGGAAACATTTAATAGATTATTAGGATAAAGCTTGTAATCTGAAGGAAATAAACCTTTGGAAACACAGTATTACATATCTGAGGGTACAGTTTAGTTTTTTCTTAAGATTTGTCATTAAATGCACATTGAAAATAGTTCTTAGGCTGTTAACATGAATTGTTTTCTTACAACCAGCTTTTTGACCTATACATACATATATATTTTCTGTTTGAGAATTAACAGTAGCAACCTACTATTCTTTAGAATCATACCTTTACAATATTTGAAACCATATTTTTAAATTTGATGGCTTCAGTTCATATCTATGAACCTTAAGGCATCAAAATTTCAAAATGGCAGATTCAGACTTTTGAGCAGATCTTGCTCCAGTTTCAGTTTTAATCTGGTTAAATTATTAGATTATAAATTACTGAGCATCAGTTTCAATAATCTCAAATTGACACATGTATGCAAATCATGGCATCAGATTTCATAATTATATATCCAAAGATAATAATTCCTTATGTCGTTTATAGGGATAAGAAACTCCTATCACTTTTGTGATCATTATACCCAGACCCTAAAAATAAATGTTTTTTCTCCCCAACTCTAAATTTACCTCCTTTAAATTTCCATTCGTTAGTCTTCATCAGCCCTTTTTTCCCTTACCAGAATTAATTTTATGTATCTTTTTGTTTATATATGACAGCTCTTCAAATATTCAGCGCTTTTAAATTATGCTATTGTATCCTCTCTCCAGTAAATGTTATTTTATCAGCTCAATAGTTTCATCATCTGTTCCTTATGTAATATAGTCTACAGATCCTTCATTCTGCTTCTACTGTTTTATAAAGGCTCCAATTTTTCAATGTTCTTCTTAAAATGGGACATCTAAAACTACACCTCATTCCATATATGGCCTACATAGAATGCAGTAAGCCTATCGCTGTCTTTCTCCTGAAATATTTATTTCTATTAAACAAATCATTGATAGTGAGTAGGCATATAAAATAAATGAATTTTGTTTCAGTGATTTTGTTCAGGCAATATAATGTCCAGCTCTTTAATATGTCCCTTTAATAAGCGTGCCACTTCTCCCTAGGGCTAGGGAAAGATTGACTAGATACTAAAGATCTTCCAGATCAGCCGTGACTTTGACTCGTTAGGTGTGACTCTTCAACTACCTGTGGAAATACTTTACTCTGACAGTTCCATACTTATTCACACTGTCCACAAGTCAACATATATTGTGAATATGACATTCCCTTAAATTGGTATCTATTAACCCTACAAAAAACTTTCCCCATGAGATTGATGAGCCCATGTTATCTTTTGTTGGTGAGCATTTATTTTTAAGTGGATAGTGATTTGCTTAATGTATTCCTCTGTGAGACTCAACAAGAAGTTGAGTTTCTGAATTCCACGTTTTTCCTGCTTTTTGGAAGATCAGGTCTACATGTTTTGTCCCTTTTTTTGATCTTTGTGATTTCTTAGAGTACTGACAAGGATTTTGCCTACACAATGGCATATACTTTCAAAATCCTGTGATATAATGATTTAAAAACAGAAATACCTGAATTTATTGAATATATATCCATCGTCAGCTCTAACTTATCTTGGGCTCATGTTTCTTAATCATTTCTGCCCTCTTGTATCTCAAAGATTCTTCTCTTTCATTAAGAAGATGGAAACAAAACAGTTTTCCTTTATCCCTGTATTTGTCCTAATATTATGCCATTTGTCTTACATAATGGACATAATTCAGCATAATTTGAAACATATAATGCTTTGAGCGAAGGTACGTTAGACTGTTTGTCATGTCTTAATTCATTATCATCTTTAGCCTCCCCAACACCATTATTTTAATTCAGACCCTATCTTAAACTCCTTTGGGAGAGGACAATGTTTTGATAATCTTTATATTTCCATAGTACATAGCCCAGTGCCATAAAGCAGAAACTTATGAGAAAGCTCCCTAAAGAGCTTCATTGTTTTTAATTTTTAATTTTTAATTTCTGCAGGTACATAGTAGATATATATTTATGGGGTACATGAGACATTTGGGTACAGGCATACAATGTACAATAATCATATCGTGGAGAATGGGGTAGCCATCCCCTCAAGCAATTATCCTTTGTGTTACAAACAATCCAATTACACTCTTTTAGTAGTTCTAAAATGTACGATTATTATCAACTATAGTCACCTTGTGGGCTATCAAATAGTAGGTCTTACTTATTCTTTCTATTATTTTTGTACCCATTAAACATCCCCACCTCTCCCAAACCCCACTACCCTACCCAGCCTCTGGTAACCATCCTTCTACTCTCTATGTCCATGAGTTCAGTTGTTTGATTTTTAGATCCTATAAATAAGTGAGAATATCCAATGATATCCTCTTTCTGTGCCTGGCTTATTTTACTTAACATAATGGTCTCCAGTTCTGTCTATGTTGTTGCAAATGATATGATTTCATTCTTTTTTTATGGTTGAATAGTACTCCATTGTGTGTATGTACCACATTTTCTTTATCCATTCATTGTTAAGTTCTCATTCTTTTAAAATTTTCTTTGAGATTGTCAGTTTTTTCTTTAAGTTTTTGATATTTTTGACCCATTGTCCCTTTAGAATTTCTGTTCATTCAATTATTCTTATCTTCGATTTTTGTTTGAAATCTGCTTTCTTAGTATTTTAGGTGGCATATAAGTTACACTTTCTCCAGCATGTTCCTTTACACCCCAGCTTGACGTAGAATTATGTTTTCCTGTTATTTGACATTTCTGCTTCTTCCTTATTTGTCAGAATTCAGTACACTCAAATAATTCCCAAATGTGGTTTCATTAAACCTTGGAGAGATGAAATTGTTAATAAGAAAATCTAGATGTATTATAGTCTTTGCTCTTTGCAGAATGTAGCTGTTAGCAGATGCCTGATTAGTTGATATACTCCATTACTGTTACTATTTCACACTTTGTCCTTTTGCTTAAAAGACAGCAGTCTGGATTTTATTACTACTTACTTATAAAGACTTCTTAAAGTTAGGGGAAAAAAAACAAAACTAGTCTCATGATATAGTCTCATGATATTTAAGTCAGTCTTGGTTTGTTTGTTTTTTCCCCACCTTAGGGGCATAATCAACCCATTTCCAGCTTCAAAAGGAATCAGAGCTTTTCCACTTCAGTGTATTCACATAGCTGAAGGACATACAAAAGCTGTGCTCTGTGTGGATTCTACTGATGATCTCCTCTTCACTGGATCGAAAGGTGCCAGTAATTATCTAATGTAGATATTTAATAGCTTTAAAAAAATTACATTTTTAACATGCTCTAGAAAGCTATTTAAGACCAGAAAGAATCAGATAATCTGGTTCAACTCCTGAATGTAAAACATGTAAAATTATTGCATAGTTGAGCAGCAAGTAAAACCTCTGTTGAAGTTTTGTAAATACACTGATGACAGAATACATCTGTCTACAGTATTTGGGCATGTACTGCATGTAGGGTCCTGAATTTTGAAATGCAGGTTATATAAAAATCTATAAAAGGCTATTTAAATGTACAATATGGGAAAGAATAAGATGCGTAGCAACCACTATTTCTGCAACACTTACTACATATCAGGGGCTATGCTAGGCAGTATGCTAATACTAATATATCTCACTTAATTCTCACAACAATCTCAATGAGATACATATTGCATCCTCATTTTGTAGACAAAGAAACTCAGGCTTCAAGTGAATAAATACTTTTCTCAGGTAAATTTAGCTAGTAAGTGGAAGAACCAGGATTAGAAACCTCGGTATACCCTTCTCCAATCCTGCACTCTTAACCCCTTTGGTACAATTGCAAGTAACTGGAAACCAGCTATAAATGCTTTGAAGAATTCTAGACTAAGAGTTTTGGGGTTCTGGAAAAGAAAGAAATTATGCCCAGCTGTGAGAAACAAGGAAGGCTTTGGCAAGGAGTCATTTAGGATGTACTTTATAGGATGGTTTGGATATTGACAAAAATGAATAAATCAAGATTACAGAATAACATAAGCAGAGACATGAAGATCAAAGTGGAGCATGTTTGGAAACTAATTCTACTTGGGTTGAAAAATAGAATATGTATAAGAGAAGTGCTGGTCATTGAGGCTAGAAAGGTGAAAAGCAAGCATATACAGGAATTCAGGGAGCTCATAAAAGTTTTTAGCATTTAGGGATAGTCCAAGATTCACTTTAATCAACAAATATTTATTTCTCATTGTCTATGAGGGAAGTATAAGATCCCAGCTAGAACTTATGAATTTAAGGTAAAAGAAATTCCCTAATTAAAAAAAAAAGTTCTTTGAAAATACTGTATTTTTCTAATGATTCAAATTAAATGTATCTCTCCAGTATAACTAGATATTCAACATATCAGAAAAAGAAGAATAGTTTTGTGATTATGTTTTTGGGTCAAAAATAAAATTTATATAGTCATTGACCCTTGGGGGGAAAAATGTGTGTATATTTACTAGTGTAGAATGTTGTGAAGAGGTGGGAATATGATCAGAGAAGAATGTTTTGAAGAGGCTGATCTGAGACTGCCACTCTAAATTCAGGGGCAATTTGAAGCAAGACTCTTTTGTTATGACCATTTCAAAATTGTTCATAAATATTTTTTCAATACCACATGATACATACACCAGACATCCCAGACTTTTATCTGATCCTTTATACATACCTTGTCTTTGAGCCTGTTGCAGAGGGTCAAGGATGACGTTAGTTGTCATCCTCGTTGTATGTTAATTACTATTTTCGTTTCCTTCCCATAGAAGAGAAATTGTTTAAATAATTTTTATTATTAATAGAACCTAAAGTAGTTCATATTAACAGTGTTTTTTTTTTGTTATTATTATTTGTTTGTTTTAGATCGTACTTGTAAAGTATGGAATCTGGTGACTGGGCAGGAAATAATGTCACTAGGGGGTCATCCCAACAATGTCGTGTCTGTAAAATACTGTAATTATACCAGTTTGGTCTTCACTGTATCAACATCTTATATTAAGGTGTGGGATATCAGAGATTCAGCAAAGTGCATTCGGACACTGACGTAAGTAACTTGAAGACAAAGAGCATAAAGGAGGAATATCTCTTCTTCTTCTTTTTTTTTTACAAAATATAAGAAAAGAGAGGACTATAAATGCATTTTAATTTTTGTATACCTGTTCACTTCCTAGAGGATATTAGAAGTGTTCACAATGAAAAGCACAGATAAAATAAGAGGGGGAAAAATTTGACAAATGAAGTATGAGAGCCTGGTATTAAACAGAAAGGGATAAGCCATATTTGATCGGTGACTAAGTATACATTTCATGTTTTCTCCCTCCCAAATATAAGGTATTACATTTTAATACTATTTCTTATTTGATAGAGTTCAATGTTTTATATTACTTGCTTCAAATAACTACCATTCCTTGGGAAATGACTGAAATAACCATGGTAGGTAGTGAAGAAGTACTTATAACCTTTAATTAACAGAGATTGAAAAGCTGAGAGTGTTTTTTAAGGACTGAGACTGCTTTGGTGTGAGTGCAAATTTCATAACTCTAGGTGATGTTGGATAATTGGAGGATGAATTTGTTTTTTCTGTGCTCATTATCGTATTTGTCTTTAGAAGTGTAGAACAAGTGATTCTTTTTGCTGTGATATTGATGAATTATTTTAATAATCAAAATTGATGTAAACTCGGTAATCATTTAAATGAGAGAAGAGAGCATAAGAAAGGTTAATTTTTACTAATTTGTAGAGATAGTAGAGACTATTTATAGTGCTGTTTTGTAATTTGAGAACATTATTCTTTGTACTGAATACAAGTCTTGAAAATCTTGTAGAAAAATATTACTATTATATCATATATTAAGATATAACATATCTTATGGTAGAAATTTACCAATTCAATTGAATCACTAAAGTCAAATTTGAAAAGATTGATTATGGCTTAATATTCTAGAAGTTAGCTAAAAAAATGTTTCAAAATTAAAAAAAAATTTCACCTAGAATTTATCTGAAGAAACAGGCATACACTATATTTAAGGCTTTAGATACTCCATCTGTGATTCAGTTAAAGTAAATGAAAACTGCAAATAATTCAAAAGGTCTCCATTGTCTTTAATCCACAAAGGCAATTCTTACACACAAAAGACTATTGGTAAGCCTGGCCCTCAGGTGGAGGGGGGTGGTGCTTCTGGAAGCTGTAGGAAAATAAATTACTTTTGTGGCAACGTATCATTTGTTGATTTTTTTTTTTTTTTTGAGATGGAGTCTTGCTCTGTCATCCAAGTTGGAGTGCAGTGGTGCATTCTTGGCTCACTGCCACTCCCACCTCCCAGGTTCAAGTGATTCTCCTGCCTCAGCCTCCCGAGTAGCTGGGACTATAGGCATGCACCACCACCCCCAGCTAATTTTTTGTATTTTTAGTATAGACGGGGTTTCACCATGTTGGCCAGGCTGGTCTCAAACTCCTGACCTCAGGTGATCCACCTGCCTTGGCCTCCAAGTGCTGAGATTACAGGCGTGAGCCACTACACCCAGCCATTTGTTGATTTTTTTTTTTTTATCTTTTCTGAAAGATGTTTTAGTGCTTCCTAACTTAGGGCCTGGAATTACTAGTATACCAAGTAAGAATTTTAAATCATGTAATCTTATTTTATTCATTCATCTCTTCACTTACCAAATATTTATTTATATGTGCCAGCTCTGTGTTAGGTGCTGTGCTAGGTACTATGCGTACAGTGACAAAAGGACACTGTTCTTGTTGCCTACAGCCAGTTTCCCGGGAATTCAAGGAATTCTAAGCCAAACCCAAGTCCAGGAATGTGACTTTTTTGCTTTGTTTGTATCTCTTAAGGTCTTCAGGTCAAGTTACTCTTGGAGATGCTTGTTCTGCAAGTACCAGTCGAACAGTAGCTATTCCTTCTGGAGAGAACCAGATCAATCAAATTGCCCTAAACCCAACTGGCACCTTCCTCTATGCTGCTTCCGGAAATGCTGTCAGGATGTGGGATCTTAAAAGGTAGATATTTTTAAGAAAACATACCTCTTGCCTATGGCAAATACAACTTCAGATATTAATAACATTAGTGCATGTGAAGTCCAATTTTTATGACCCCAGAAGTTAATGTAAAATCATAGGCTTTTTTTTTTCAGCATATACCTCTAAATGTCTCTTGTGTCCTTATTAACAAACTGACAATTTTCTCTTTTTTTAATCTCCATTGCTTGGAAAATAAGTATAGGGGGAAAAATAAAATTAAAACATTACAATTTCTTAATATTTGCCTACAAGTCATGTTGTATACTAGAAGGAAGCCAAGATTCTCATCCTAGTTTCACCAGTACTCTTGATAGAGTTATTTTTGCAACATCACTTAAATATCATATCTTAAATGTTTTCATTGATAAAATTAAATTAACAACTTGAGCATAAAGTCCTCACAGAATTTTTGTGAATATAAAATAAAATATTTGTAAACTATGAAGTATTAAGAAGATAAAATAGTTAAAAAGAAAAAAATGATAAATTAAAATTTAAGGCATTACATCTTTCATTCGATTTTTATTTCCTATGAAGTGTGAGTTTTTTTCCTTTAGTTGAGTATTTATGTTAGCTTGTTTTCTAGTTCTTAAAATTTTGGCAGCAAGGGAACATTCACTTATTAGTTAACAAATACTTATTCAACCCAAATATGTCAGGCATTGCACCAACAGTGTGGTGAGTACTGACAGTGAAGATAGAGCAAGACAAATGTGGCTGGTTGTGAACTCCTGGGCTCAAATGTTTCTGACACCTAAGCCTCCCAAAGCGCTGGGATTACAGGCAGGAGCCACTGTGCCCAGCCTTGATCTACCTTCTTAGAGTTCATCTTATAATGGAGAATAAAGGCCATTAAACAGGCTATTACAGGATTCTTAGTAACATTTCCGATTCAGGTAACATGGGGTGCCTCTTATCCAGAAGGGATTTGCCAATGGTAAATCAAATGGATGTTTTTTTGAAAAACTTTGAGAAAAACTAGTGTTATAATTTATAACATTTAAGGCATGTTACAGTATGACTGACAAAGTATGATAAACATAATTTGTAGATAAATAGATAAGAGAAAAACCATGGTCCTAAATACTATATTATAAATAAAATGTAGAAAATTGAAAACAGTACTTTTTTAAGAAAATAAGAAAAGAGGTGAGGACTTGGCTTATTCTTGAAGTTACTGAATTTGACTCATAGTAAGAGCACCATAGAAGAAATAGTCAAAATTATGACACAAAGCAGAAAAGATACCAGCTTTTCAAAATCTTTGTACTTTTTAATTTGCTGGTTGATTTCAGTAAGATATTACTAATTAAATGTAGATCTTAACAAAGGAACTAAAAGAATATTTTTCAAGAAACTGTAATATCTTAAAAGCTAGATACATGTCTTTATTCCAGCAGCTTGATTTGAGGTAGGACTGTGAAACAAAAGTTCATTCTTGCCCTCTGACAACTGACATTACCCAGTTTTCTACCAGCCACATAGCTGGTCATTTTCATATCTTTATAATAATTGATGAAATTATTTTGACCACTTATTTTCTGATGTACACATCCACACATATGTGTGTATATAGATATATGTATGTATATATGTGCATATATGATGTACATGCACTTACGTGTATTTGTGAAAATGTGTGTGCAATAAAATAATTTTACTTTCTCAGTATTGTTACTGATTTTGTAATTACATCAGTGATATTATCATTTTATTTGAAATTCAAATTGGACCTAATCAGCCCTATTCAGACATTTAGCAGATTAATGTTTAGGTGGATTTAGGTTGGAGTTAAAATTAATAATTTTTTAGACTTCTGCTGCTTTTTTGCTTGCCTAAATGACATTAGTCAGCTTTAGAATAACTTATTTATGACTCTCCCATTTGCATCATAGATTGTATTAGTTTTGACTAATTTGAACAGAGTTTCGTAGACGTGGAGCTAAAATAAAAAAAGCTGGTGATGCTGTATGTTTATTGCAGCACTATTCACAATAGCAAAGACTAGGAATCAACCCAAATGTCCACCAGTGATAGACTGGATTAAGAAAATGTGGCACATTACACTATGGAATACCATGCAGCCATAAAAGAGGATGGATTCATGTCCTTTGTAGGGACATGGATGAAGCTGGAAACCATCATTCTCAACAAACTATTGCAAGGACAGAAAACCAAACACCACATGTTCTCACTCATAAGTGGGAACTGAACAATGAGAACACTTGGACACAGGAAGGGGAACATCACACACCAGGGCCTGTTGAGGGGTAGGGGGTAGGGGGAGGGATAGCATTAGGAGATACACCTAATGTAAATGTCAAGTTAATGGATGCAGCACACCAACATGACACATGTATACATATGTAACAAACGTGCACATTGTGCACATGTACCCTAGAACTGAAAGTACAATAAACAAAAAAAAGAAAGAAAGAAAGAAAAAAAAGCTGGTGATGCACACCTGTAAGTCCCAGCTACTGGGGAAGCTGAGGTGGGAGGAGGATTGCTTGAGGTCAGGAGATTGAGACTGCAGTGTGCCATGATCGTGCCTGTGAATAGCCACCGCACTTCAGCCTGGCAACGTAACGGAACCCCACCTTTGATATTTTTTTTTTTTTCTTGAGATGGATTCTTGCTCTGTCACCCAGGCTGGAGAGCAGTGGCACGATCTCAGCTCACTGCAACCTCCCCCTCCCAGGTTCAAGCGATTCTCCTGCCTCAGCCTCCTAAGTAGTTGGGATTACAGGCACCTGCCACCACATCAGCTAATTTTTGTATTTTTAGTAGAGACAGGGTTTCACCATGTTGGCCAGGCTGGTCTCAAACTCCTGGCCTCAGGTGGTCTGCCCGCCTTGGCCTCCCAAAGTGCTGGGATTACAGGCATAAGCCACCGCACCCAGCCCAAGACCCCATCTCTAAACATGTAAAAAGAAAAAAAAGTGAACTATTTTATGAAAGAATGTAGATTGTCTATGTTGAGGCTTAGTCCCATAAGAAATATTTTTAAATAAGACCATTTTTCTTTATTTTTAAAGGTTTCAGTCTACAGGAAAGTTAACAGGACACCTAGGCCCTGTTATGTGCCTTACTGTGGATCAGATTTCCAATGGACAAGATCTAATCATCACTGGCTCCAAGGATCATTACATCAAAGTATGTATAAGAGACTTTCTGAATTATATTTGTCTATCAAGTGATAATTTTGAAGTATTCAGATTCATCTAGGTCCTCTTTCTCTTAATTTTCTTTTTTCCTTTCTAGTCTTTGTTTTTTCTTTTTAATCTTTTCCTCAGTCATAGTTAGTGGTTTTATCATCTTATTATTCAATCATGCATTCTCATTTTTCATAGAAGAAAGGTTGGAAACAATTTTAAAGCTCTTTTAGCTCAGTCTTCCAACTCATACATGAGTCTTATTGTCAAGATCTTTTATCCTGAAAATATTACGATCTTCAGAATTTTTTTAAATTAGCAGATAAAGTAAGGAAAGATGCATAGTTTGATTTTAAAAATGTTAAATTTAAATGCTTAATGAAATACTAATAAAGGAAATTCACATGGCTAGAAGGCCATTAGAAATTCAAGTCTAGAGTTTAAGTTGTGACTAGAGATGTAGGTTTGGGAGCCATTCAAAGAGAACCAGATGTTCGAGGAGTCAAGAGTTGATGATGTGGCCAAGGTGGAGAGAAGTTGACTGGGAACTCAGCCTTGGGGAATATCTGTGAGAACCAATAGGAAGAAGGTAAGAAAGAGAGGTAGGAAGAATGTAAGTACTCATTCTAGAAACTTTGATTAAAATATGAGAAATGGGTTAATGACTTGAAAATAGAATAGTTAAGAAAGGAAGATTTTATATCGTAGAGACGTGAACATATTTATGTACTTAGGAATTGGGCTTAGTGGAGAGGGAAAGAGTGAGGAGAAAACTGAAGTGGTGGCAATTGATGAAGGTGGTAGGGGGAGTTAGATCATAGATGTGAACATTGAAGATAAGTAAGTATACTTTAGCTTCTGATAAAGAAGGGAAGGGTAAGAAGAAATTTGAAGATAAAAAGAAACCTTTAGAATGGAAGAGAGTGTCTAAAAAGTTTATTTTTTATTACACTAGCCTTTTCAGGAAGGCACAAGGTTATGGGCCAAGAGAGATGAGGGCAACTGAGGAAGGTGAAAAGGTTTTGAACAGCAGCTTTGGGGAATTGGAGATGACCTCCGGGACTGCAAAGTTACCTAATAGTCATTAAATAATAACCATATTTTTTGTTGAATTTCACCTGGATTTATATGTAATATTTTTATTATTAAATATATCATTTGTGCAGTTATACATAAAAAAAATGGTTTCCTTTCTTTTTTTTTCATAGAGAACATTCTTTATTTATTGAGCATTTACTATGTGCCAAGTACTTTTCATGCATCTCATCACTTAAGCTTATCAGCATCTCCAGCAACTATTGGGTAGGTAGGATCCATGAGCCCATTTTGTAAAAAGAAAACTGAAGTCCAAAGCATTTAAGCAACTTGCCCAGGACTTGAACTCAGATCTATTTGAAATTCCATTCAGATGTTTAACAATACTAAACTGCCTCCCTCCATTGTACTCTGAAGTGAGTCATATTCTTAGCTATGTGTCCCAAGCAGGCATATGTGGAGTATTTTATAGCTGTGTGTACCATTTATAACAACTTCTTCATGGTGGTGTGAGGCATTTCAGAGCATTATATAAGACAGTCTCTTCATGTTTGTGCTGTTTTTAAATTAGACTTGGTGCAAGCCAAGAAGCCGCCAAGGGCATTTTATTATTATTATTATTCTTTATGTTCTAGGGTACATGTGCGCAACATGCAGGTTTGTTACATATGTATACATGTGCCATGTTGGTGTGCTGCACCCGTTAACTCGTCATTTACATTAGGTATATCTCCTAATGCTATCCCTCCCCACTACCCGCTCCCCACAATAGGACCCGGTGTGTGATGATCCCCTTCCTGTGTCCAGGTGATCTCATTGTTCAATTCCCACCTATGAGTGAGAACATGCGGTATTTGGTTTTCTGTTCTTGCGATAGTTTGCTGAGAATGATAGTTTCCAGCTGTGTCTATGTCCCTACAAAAGACACGAACTCATCCTTTTTTATGGCTGCATAGTATTCCATGGTGTATATGTGCCACATTTTCTTAATCCAGTCTGTCACTGATGGACATTTGGGTTGATTCCAAGTCTTTGCTATTGTGAATAGTGCCGCAATAAATATATGTGTATATGTGTCTTTAGAGCAGCATGACTTACAATCCTTTGGGTATATCCCCAGTAATGGGATGGCTGGGTCAAATGGTATTTCTAGTTCTAGATCCTTGAGGAATCGCCACACTGTTTTCCACAATGGTTGAACTAGTTTACAATCCCACCAACAGTGTAAAAGTGTTCCTATTTCTCCACATTCTCTCCAGTACCTGTTGTTTCCTGATTTTTTTAATGATTGCCATTCTAACTGGTGTAAGATGGTATCTCATTGTGGTTTTGATTTGCATTTCTCTGATGGCCAGTGATGATGAGCATTTTTTCATGTGTCTGTTGGCTGTATGAATGTCTTCTTTTGAGAAGTGTCTGTTCATATGCTTTGCCCACTTTTTGATGGGGTTGTTTGTTTTTTTCTTGTAAATTTGTTTGAGTTCTTTGTAGGTTCTGGATATTAGCCCTTTGTCAGATGAGTAGATTGCAAAAATGTTCTCCCGTTCTGTAGGTTGCCTGTTCACTCTGATGGTAGTTTCTTTTGCTGTGCAGAAGCTCTTTAGTTGAATTAGATTCCCATTTGTCAATTTTGGCTTTTGTTGCCGTTGCTTTTGGTGTTTTAGACATGAAGTCCTTGCCCATGCCTATGTCCTGAGTGGTATTACCTAGGTTTTCTTCTAGGGGTTTTATGGTTTTAGGTCTAAGATTTAAGTCTCTAATCCATCTTGAATTAATTTTCATATAAGGAGTAAGGAAAGGATCCAGTTTCAGCTTTCTACTTACAGTTAGCCAATTTTCCCAGCACCATTTATTAAATAGGGAATCCTTTCCCAATTTCTTGTTTTTGTCAGATTTGTCAAAGATCAGATGACTGTAGATGTGTGGTATTATTTCTGAGGGCTCTGTTCTCTTCCATTGGTCTATATCTCTGTTTTGGTACCAGTACCATGCTGTTTTGGTTACTGTAGCCTTGTAGTATAGTTTGAAGTCAGGTAGCATAATGCCTCCAGCTTTGTTCTTTTGGCTTAGGATTGCCTTGGCAATGCAGGGTCTTTTTTGGTTCCATATGAACTTTAAAGTAGTTTTTTCCAATTCTGTGAAGAAAGTCATTGGAAGCTTAATGGGGATGGCATTGAATCTGTAAATTACCTTGGGCAATATGGCCATTTTCACAATATTGATTCTTCCTATCCATGAGCATGGTATGTTCTTCCATTTGTTTGTGTCCTCTTTTATTTCACTGAGCAGTGGTTTTTAGTTCTCCTTGAAGGGGTTCTTTACATCCCTTGTAAGTTGGATTCCTAGGTATTTTATTCTCTTTGAAGCAATTGTGAATGGGAGTTCATTCATGATTTGGCTCTCTGTTTGTCTGTTACTGGTGTATAAGAACGCTTGTAATTTTTGCACATTAATTTTGTATCCTGAGACTTTGCTGAAGTTGCTTATCAGCTTAAGGAGATTTTGGGCTGAGACAATGGGGTTTTCTAAATATACAATCATGTCATCTGCAAACAGGGACAATTTGACTTCTTCTTTTCCTAACTGAATACCCTTGATTTCTTGCTTTTGCCTGATTTCCCTAGCCAGAACTTCCAACACTATGTTGAATAGGAGTGGTGAGAGAGGGCATCCCTGTCTTGTGCCAGTTTTCAAAGGGAATGCTTCCAGTTTTTTCCCATTCAGTATGATATTGGCTATGGGTTTGTCATAAATAGCTCTTATTATTTTGAGGTACGTTCCATCAATACCGAATTTATTGAGCGTTTTTAGCATGAAGGGCTGTTGAATTTTGTCAAAGGCCTTTTCTGCATCTATTGAGATAATCGTGTGGTTTTTGTCTTTGGTTCTGTTTATATGTTGGATTATGTTTATTGATTTGCGAATGTTGAACCAGCCTTGCATCCCAGGGATGAAGCCCACTTGATCATGGTGGATAAGCTTTTTGATGTGCTCCTGGATTCGGTTTGCCAGTATTTTAAGGAGGATTTTTGCATCGATGTTCATCAGGGATATTGGTCTAATTTCTCTTTTTTTGTTGTATCTCTGTCAAGCTTTGGTATCACGTGATGTTGGCCTCATAAAATGAGTTAGGGAGGATTCCCTCTTTTTTTATTGATTGGAATAGTTTCAGAAGGAATGGTACCAACACCTCCTTGTACCTCTGGTAGAATTCGGTTGTGAATACTTCTGGTCTTGGACTTTTTTTGGTTAGTAGGCTATTAATTATTGCCTCAATTTCAGAGCCTGCTATTGGTCTATTCAGGGATTCAACTTCTTCCTGGTTTAGTCTTGGGAGAGTGTAAGTGTCCTGGAAATCATCCATTTCTTCTAGGTTTTCTAGTTTATTTGCGTAGAGGTGTTTATAGTATTCTGTGATGGTAGTTTGTATTTCAGTGGGGTCGGTGGTGATATCCCCTTTATCATTTTTTATTGTGTCTATTTGATTCTTCTCTTCTTCTTTATTAGTCTTGCTAGCGGTCTGTCAATTTTGTTGATCTTTTCAAAAAACCAGCTCCTGGATTCATTGATTTTTTGGAGGGTTTTTTGTGTCTCTATCTCCTTCAGTTCTGCTCTGATCTTAGTTATTTGTTGCCTTCTGCTAGCTTTTGAATGTGTTTGCTCTTGCTTCTCTAGTTCTTTTAATTGTGATGTTAGGGTGTCCATTTTAGATCTTTCCTGCTTTCTCTTGTGGGCATTTAGTGCTATAAATTTCCCTCTACTCACTACTTTAAATGTGTCCCAGAGATTCTGGTATGTTGTATCTTTGTTCTTATTGGTTACAAAGCACATCTTTATTTCTGCCTTCATTTTGTTATGTACCCAGTAGTCATTCAGGAGCAGGTTGTTCAGTTTCCATGTAGTTGAGCGGTTTTGATTGAGTTTCTTAATCCTGAGTTCTAGCTTGATTGCACTGTGGTCTGAGAGACAGTTTGTTATAATTTCTGTTCTTTTACATTTGCTGAGGAGTGCTTTACTTCCAACTATATGGTCAATTTTGGAATAAGTGCGATGTGGTGCTGAGAAGAATGTATATTCTGTTGCTTTGGGTTGGAGAGTTCTGTAGATGTCTATTAGGTCTACTTGGTGCAGAGTTGAGTTCAATTCCTGGATATCCTTGTTAACTTTCTGTCTCATTGATCTGTCTAATGTTGACAGTGGGGAGTTAAAGTCCCTATTATTATTGTATGGGAGTCTAAGTCTCTTTGTAAGTCTCTAAGGACTTGCTTTATGAATCTGGCTGCTCCTGTATTGGATGCATATATATTTAGGATAGTTAGCTTTTCCTGATGAATTGATCCCTTTACCATTATGTAATGGCCTTCTTTGTCTCTTTTGATCTTTGATGGTTTAAAGTCTGTTTTATCAGAGACTAGGATTGCAACCCCTGCTTTTTTTTGTTTTCCATTTGCTTGGTAGATCTTCCTCCATCCATTTATTTTGAGTCTATGTGTGTCTCTGCATGTGAGATGGGTCTCCTGAATACAGCAAACTGATGGGTCTTGACTCTTTATCCAGTTTGCCAGTCTGTGTCTTTTAATTGGATCATTTAGTCCATTCACATTTAAGGTTAATATTGTTATATGTGAACTTGATCCTGTCATTATGATGTTAGCTGGTTATTTTGCTCGCTAGTTGATGCAGTTTCTTCCTAGTATCAATGGACTTTACATTTTGGTATGTTTTTGCAATGGCTGGTACCTGTTGTTCCTTTCCGTGTTTAGTGCTTCCTTCAGGATCTCTTGTAGGGCAGGCCTGGTGGTGACAAAATCTGTAAGCATTTGCTTGTCTGTAAAGGATTTTATTTCTCCTTCAGTTATGAAACTTAGTTTGGCTGGATATGAAATTCTGGGTTTAAAATTCTTTTCTTTAAGAATGTTGAATATTGGCCCCCACTCTCTTCTGGCTTGTAGAGTTTCTGCCGAGAGATCTGCTATTAGTCTGATAGGTTTCCCTTTGTATGCAACCCGACCTTTCTCTCTGGCTGCCCTTAAGATTTTTTCCTTCATTTCAACTTTGGTGAATCTGACAATTGTGTGTCTTGGAGTTGCTCTTCTCGAGGAGTATCTTTGTGGCATTCTCTGTATTTCCTGAATTTGAATGTTGGCCTGCCTTACTAGGTTGGGGAAGTTCTGCTGGATGATATCCTGCAGAGTGTTTTCCCACTAGGTTTCATTTTCCCCATCACTTTCAGGCACGCCAATCAGAAGTAGATTTGGTCTTTTCACATATTCCCATATTTCTTGGAGGCTTTGTTCATTTCTTTTTCCTCTTTTTTTCTTTAGACTTCTCTTCTCGCTTCATTTCATTCATTTGATCTTCAGTCGCTGATACTCTTTCTTCCAGTTGATTGAGTTGATTATTGAAGCTTGTCCATTTGTCACGTAGTTCTCATGTTATGGTTTTCATCTCTATCAGTTCTTTTAAGGTCTTCTCTATATTGATTATCAAGTTATTCATTCGTCCATTCTTTTTTCAAGGTTTTTAGTTTCTTTGCACTGGTTACGTAGTTCCTCCTTTAGCTCTGAGAAGTTTGATCAACTGAAGCCTTCTTCTCTCAACTCGTCAAAGTCATTCACTCTCCCGCTTTGTTCCATTGCTGGTGATGAGCTGCGTTCCTTTGGAGAGGGAGATGCGCTCTTATTTTTTGAATTTCCATCTTTTCTACACTGCTTTTTCCCCATCTTTGTGGCTTTATCTGCCTTTGGTTTTTGATGATGGTGACGTACTGATGGGGTTTTGGTGTGGATGTCCTTTCTGTTTCTTAGTTTTCCTTCTAACAGTCAGGACCCTCAGCTGTAGGTCTGTTGGAGTTTGCTTGAGGTCCACTCCAGACCCTGTTTGTCTGGGTATCAGCAGAGGAGGCTGCAGAAGATAGAATATTGCTGAATAGTGAGTGTTGCTGTCTGATTCTTTCTCTGGAAGCTTCGTCTCAGGGCTGTACCCCGCCATGTGAGATGTGAGGTGTTGGTCTGCTCCTAGTGGGGGATGTCTCTCAGTTAGGCTACTCAGGGGTCAGGGACCCACTTGAGCAGGCAGTCTGTCTGTTCTCAGATCTCAGCCTCCATGCTGGGAGATCCACTACTCTCTTCAAACCTGTCAGACAGGGGTATTTACTTCTGCCGTGGTTTCTGCTGCTTTTTGTTTAGCTATGCCCTGTCCCCAGAGGACGAGTCTACAGAGGCAGGCCAGCCTCCTTGAGCTGTGGTGGGCTCCACCCAATTCGAGCTTCCAGGTGACTTTGTTTACCTACTTAAGCCTCAGCAATGGCGACTGCCCCTCCCCCAGCCTGGCTGCCACCTTGCAGTTAGATCTCAGACTGCTGTGCAAGCAATAAGGGAGGCTCCGTGGGCGTCGGTTATTGAAGCTTGGGCCAGGTGTGGGATATAATCTCCTGGTGTGCCATTTGCTAAGACCCTTGGTAAAGTGCAGTATTAGGGTGGGAGTTACCCGATTTTCCAGGTGTTGTGTGTCTCAATTTCGTTTGGCTAGGAAAAGGAATTCCCTTCCCCCTTGTGCTTCCCAGGTGAGGCGATGCCTCGCCCTGCTTCAGCTCTTGCTGGTCGGGCTGCACCCACGGACCAGCACCAACTGTCCGACACACCCCAGTGAGATGAACCTGGTACCTCAGTTGAAAATGCAGAAATCACCCATCTTCTGTGTCACTCACACTAGGAGCTGGAGGCTGGAGCTGTTCCTATTAAGCCCTCTTGGGTGCGCTCCCTGGTTTCCTTTCTTAAAAGCCTACAGACACAAAGCATGTAACATGCAAGCGAAAGTAGTGTTAAAAAAAGGGCACAGGTTTATCCTCAGTTGTCATTCATGTCAGGTTAACTTAATTAACTTAATAAAACTTCCATAACAACAAATAACAAAACAAAACAATAATTAAGATCTGGGGCCATGATGCATGCCTGTAATCCCAGCTACTTGGGAGGTTGAGGTAAGAGGATCACTTGAGCCTGAAGTTAAAGCAGCTGTGCAGTATGATTGCACCTGTGAATAAGCACTATACTCCAGCCTGGGAAACATAGTGAAACCTCATCTCAAAATAATAAATAAAATAAGTAAAAAGAAAAAATTTAACAAACCAGAAACAGTAGGTAACAAAACAAGTCATATCTGATTAACATACATGTGTATGTGTTTCTAGGACTGTACAAATATTTGTGTTTGTTTGCAAGTTAAATAGGATAACTGCTTTGTTTCTACCTTTCTAGATGTTTGATGTTACAGAAGGAGCTCTTGGTACTGTGAGTCCCACCCACAATTTTGAACCCCCTCATTATGATGGCATAGAAGCACTAACCATTCAAGGGGATAACCTATTTAGCGGGTCTAGAGATAATGGAATCAAGAAATGGGACTTAACTCAAAAAGACCTTCTTCAGGTAATGCAGAACCTTTTCATGGTTTAGATCGAAAATTCTATATACTTTCGGGATCTATATACAACATGATCCTGTAGCCTGTAGAAGAACTTGAAGAGCTTCTATGTTGATTTTTATCATTTATGGATAATATTAATCAGGCCTTTTTCTTAAAGAATGTTTCATCCTCCCCAGAGTTCTTCATTGGGAGAAGGGAAACATTCAACATTGAATAATACCTGCTAGATAAGAGAAGAGACGCTGATAAGAGTTGAAAGATCTAGGGTTGCTCCATGCATGTGTTTATTAAATAAAATCAGCCTGGGAGTAGTGCAGTTGCAGTTTGTCATTTTGTTTTGCTTTTGTTTTATGTACACATATTCCAAAGAGTTCCAAGTTTAGCTAAAGTCAAGAGTAATATAAATAATTCCTTATCTGTAAGAGCATTTTCATGCTTCTAAGGGTGGTGGCTCTCTCATTTCCTACAAAATGATAATTGGGTTGAATAAATTCAAATATTGGTGTCTTTTCCTAATTCCCTGGAAAAGAAAGTAGTTAACAGATTAAATTCTTTTCAATTTCAAGTTTTTCCTTATATATACGTATATGTGGGTATGTATATGTAGTAGTTGCTTCTACTTTCCTGCTTGTAATCAGCAGATGAAAACCAACCAAACAAACATAAATATTAATAGGAAAAACTTGGCAATAGATGAATATACAATGTTACATTAAAAAGCTTTTTAAAAATAAACATACATTCATGATTATAATTTTATATTTTGCATATAAATACATTTATGCATGAAGTATAATCATATAGTCTAATCTTGTAATTATTGTTTACTCATCATAAAATATATCGATTACCTCTGGTCTTCTGCAGAAATCTTCAGGCCTCTATATTCTCTATTGAAAGTTTAAACTAGTGATATTATGAGCCTGTCCTTATAATCCACATACCAGGTTGCAGTTTTCAAATTTGCTTTATTTAATACATTTTGGAGAAAGGTAAGATATTTACTGCCCATGAAGAGGATATGATGCTTGAAAATTCTATATACTTTCAGGATCTTTTACATTTTGTAGATTATAGCCCTTAAATGGTGATAACAGTGATGAAAATTAGTGAGGCAAGTTGGGAAGCAAATTACCCATTTATTTCTTTAACTCACTAAGAGTGATTGCATAGAAAATAAACTTTATTCAGGCAATTCTGAATATTAAGTTTTGCAATAAAATGTTTTTCAGTTTATTTTCATGTGAAAATGTCAGTTTGGAAGCTCTCCTTAAGCTACTGATTTCACTTTTTTTCTTTTAGCAAGTTCCAAATGCACATAAAGATTGGGTCTGTGCCCTGGGAGTAGTGCCAGACCACCCAGTTTTGCTCAGTGGCTGCAGAGGGGGCATTTTGAAAGTCTGGAACATGGATACTTTTATGCCAGTTGGAGAGATGAAAGGTCATGATAGTCCTATCAATGCCATATGTGTTAATTCCACCCACATTTTTACTGCAGCTGAGTAAGTTTTCTTATATGATTTTTCTCTATATTGGTTGCTTTTGTTCGGATTTAATACATATGTTGTAAATATCTAGAAACATTGAATATGCAAAATCCTTATAATCGTTCTAATGTCTGTTTTAAGATGTCTTACTTATATTTTCTGATGTACACTGTGGGCACTGAATTTAGGCACCCCAGGTTACATGACAATACTGTTACTCCTGTATAGCACTCTGCTTATTTTAGGAAGTGAGCTGTCACATGTTTCCTTGATGGTTTTGACTTTTAGAAAATAATGACTAATTTCTAAAGATTTTTATTTTCAGAAAGGCAACAAATTTGCCATTCTTCATATTTGGAGCAAATTATTTAAAAACTCTCTCTGCTTCCTCCTCCCTTTAAAGTATAAGTACATAGTAATAACATCTGCTTCCACCCACTTGTGGATGACTGGATTGATTGACGCATTTGTTCATTCACAGTGAATCTCCTAAGTGCTGGGAATTGTTCCAGACTCCTGGAAACAGAGCAGTGAGCAAAACAGATTCCAAACCCAGTCTATATTCTTATGAGAAGAAATGGAAAATACATTAAGTAGAATGTGTTAGATGGTGACAAGTGCAATGGTGAGAAATAAAAGAGAGAAAGGGGATGGGATTTTCCTAGGTCAGGGTTACAAAATAGGGTGGTCAGTGAAGGCCTGATGGAAAAAGTGACATTTAAGATACTTGAAGGAGGTAGAAAGATGTTGTGACCATAAAATGACAGTTTATATATATAAATGACATTATATATAGTACACATATATGTACTTTGAAAAGGAAATGTGTATGTATTGTATGTATTATATAATGTGAAGTATAGGTCTCATTCAAATAAAATGTAATTTCTTGTGAATATCTATCTAAAACACCTCCCAATTTTGTTTGTGTACCATTTATATCTATTTAATTTGAGCACTGACTTTGTTCAGGGTGTCCCAAATGCATGAACACCCTGATTTTATTTTGAAGCCTTTATTTCTGTGTCATTTCTTTGCATTTGTGCAGTTTCCATTGAATTTCTCTTTTCATTTAGATTTACTTTCATCTTGAAGGTGCATCAGAGCCGATTTATTTTGTTTTTCTAAAGTGCTTACCTTTGATGCTTCATCAATGCTATTTCCAAGATGCATTACCTTCTGAAAAGTCACCACTTTTGCTTACTTCCTTGGAAACTTGTTGTGTCCTTGAAAATTTACCGGCTATATCTCACATTGACTGTGGGACACCCAATACAAAACTTACTATTGTGTATCAGTGAGGCCTGGGGATCAGCATGTAATATAATTATACTTACTTATCTTCCAGGATATGGTCTCAGTTTTGAAGAGCTAAACTTTTTTTTTTTAAACTTTTATTTTAGGTTCAGGGGTACATGTGCAGGTTTTTTATATGGGTAAACTTGTGTCACCAGTGTTTGTGGTTCAGATTATTTCATCACCCATGTGCTTAGCCCAGTACCCAATAGTTATTTTTTTCTACTCCTCTCCCTCCTGCCACCCTCCACCCTCAAGTAGGCCCCAGTGTCTGTTGTTGCCTTTTTTGTGTCTATGAGTTCTCATCATTTAGCTTCCATTTATAAGAGAGAACATGTGATATTTGGTTCTCTGTTTCTTCATTTGTTTGCTAAGGATAATGGTCTCCAGCTCCATCCATGTACCCACAAAATATGTGATCTCATTTATTTTTATGGCTGCATAGTATTCCCTGGTATATATGTACCACATTTTCTTTATCCAATCTGTCATTGATGGGTGTTTAGGTTGATTCCATGTCTTTGCTCTTGTGAATAGTGCTGTTATGAACATTTGTGTACATGTATCTTTATGGTAGAATGATTTATATTTCTCTGGTATACACCCAGTAATGAGATTGCTGAGTCAAATTGTAGTTCTGTTTTTAGCTCTTTCAGGAATTGCCACACTGCTTTCCACAATGGTTGAACTGATTTATACGCCCACTAACCAGTGTATAAGTGTTCCCTTTTTCCACAACCTTGTCGACATCTGTTATTTTTGACTTTTTAATAGTAGCCTTTTTGACTGGTGTGAGATGGTGTATCATTGTGGTTTTGATTTGCATTTCTCTAATAATGTTGAGCTTTTTTTTCATATTCTAGTTAGCAGCATCTATGTATTCCTTAAAAAAGGGTCTATTCATGTCCCTTTCCCACTTTTAAATGGGTTGATTGTTTTTTTCCTTGTAAATTTGTTTAAGTTCTTAAGATGCTGGATATTAGATCTTTGTCAGATTCATAGTTTGCAAATATTGTCTCCCATTCTGTAGGTTCTCTGTTTACTCTATTGATAGTTTCTTTTGCTGTGCAGATGAAGAGCGAAACTTTTTCTCAGCTTACTCAGTGTATATCACATGCAAATATGTCTACTACATGTTTTCAAAATCACAGGAAAATAACCAAGAAAATCAGAAGGACTTTTAAAAAATTAGTTCTACTTATTTGTTATTTAACAAATATTTATATAGTGCTTACTATGTGCGAGGCATTGTTCTAAGTGCTTTGCAGACATTAACTCATTTAGTCCTTAGAATAACTCTAGAAGTTAAGTATTATTATTATAATCTCTATTTTACAAGTAGGAAAACTGAGGCACTTTATAACTTACATAGATAATTTCATCATACCTGTCATTTATGGATCTGATATCATTGATTTTTCTCATAAATACTGGTGTCATTGTCTTCTGCTGCTTTTTATGTCAAGTAATATTTTATTAAATGTTAGACATTGTAATATTTTGAGTATCTCAATTTTGTTGTACTTTGTATTCCTTTAAGGAGTATCAGGCTTTGTTTATCAGGCAATTGGATTACTTGTGGTTCAGTTTTAAGTTTTTAACACTTGTTTTTAACCTTTGTTAGGTAGGTCTAGAGTAGCCATTACTCTGGGGTTAGTTGGCTGTCCTATGAAAGTTTAACTCTTCCTGCAATTCTACTGAATGTCCCAGGTGTTCAGTGGTATCTCTCTACTATACCTGGTCAGAAATTGAACATCTCATAGCCCTCTATGAACTCTGGGAGGTTTTCAATATATAGTTCCCTGGTAGCTGTTTTGTTGTCTGACCTTATAGTTGCACTCTACTCATGTACAACTTAACATTCAGTCAAAGACTTTAGGAGACCCCATGTAGATTTGTAGAGTTCTTTCTCTGCATAGATCTCTCCTCTTCTCTACTTCCTGGATTTTGTTTTCTGTCTCTTCAACTCAGTGCTCCTGTGATTCTCTGCTTGGGTTCCCTCTCCCTTTGCTGTGGTATGCAAAATGCTTCTAGGCAGACAGCGGGGGCTATCACACAGCATCTTCTTTGTTTCCCTTTTCTCCAGGATCACAGCCTCGCATTGCCTGTTGCCCAATGTCTGAAAACAGCTGCTCCATAAATTTTGTCAAGTTTTCTCTTTGTTTACAGTAGGGGGGTTAACCATGGCTAGTAGTGGAAATTTAATCATCTCAAACTTAACATATCCAAAATTGAACTCCTAATCTTTTCAAGAAACCTACTCATTCTACAACCTTCTCCATCACAGTTGATGGCTTCCCTGACGTTTCTGTGCTCAGGACAGAACCTTTCATTCCTCCCCTTCTTTTGTACTTCATATCTAATCCATCATCAAGTCCTGTTAGTTCTACCTTTAAATTATGTCTAGAATCTAACCACTTCTTACCACATCCTCTACTTCTTCACCAGACTTAATCACCATCAGCTCTTGGATTACTATAATAGCCTTCTAAACAAAGTCCTTTGCTCATATGTAGTCTATACTCAACACAAAATCTAGAATGATCCTTTAAAAGCATAAGTTAGATCATATTCCTTCTCTATTCAAAACCCTACAGTCGTCCTCCATTTCACTTAGAGTTGAGTCCATACTTGATCTTGCCCTCTGAACATCTGTTTTCACCCTTGCCATATCATCTGGTACCCTCTGGCTTATTATTTTCTTGCAACCCCAATAACCTCTTTGCTGGTCCTTGAACATTCCAAAGCCACTCCTGCCTGAGGGCATTTGCCCTAGCTGCTCTTTTGGCCTGGAATGTTTTTCTCTCAAATGTCCTGACACTGCAAGTCTTTCTTCCTCAGTAAAAGTATCCTGGTCATTTTATTTAAAATTGTAATCTCTCCTATCGCCTAGCACTCCTGGTCCCCTTGGCTGTTCTCTCCTTTTTTTTTTCACCCCTGTGGCACTAATCACCTTCTAATATACTCTATAGTTTAATCATTTATTATGGTTTATTGTCTGTCTCCTTTTGCTAGAATACATGATCTACAAAGGCAAAAGGTTTGAGCTTTTAAATTTTATTTTTGTTTTTTTAAAGCAGCATATCCTGGCAAGGCGCAGTGGTTCACGCCTGTAATCCCAGCACTTTGGGAGGGCGAGGCGGGCGGATCACGAGGTCAGGAGATCGAGACCATCCTGGCTAACATGTCTCTGCTAAAAGTACAAAAAAATTAGCTGGGCATGGTGGTGGGCACCTGTAGTCCCAGTTACTCGAGAGGCTGAGGCTGGAGAATGGTGTGAACCCGGGAGGCAGAGCTTGCAGTGAGCAGAGATCGAGTCACTGCACTCCAGCCTGGGTGACAGAACAAGACTCTGTTTAAAAAAAAAAAAAAAAAAAAAGGCATATCCCAAGCACTTAGAATGGATGCTTTTAAAAAAAAAAAAGCATATCCCAGGGTGGGTGCAGTTGCTCATGCCTGTAATCCCAGCACTTTTGGGAGGCTGAGGCAGGTGGATCATGAGGTCAAGAGATCAAGACTGGCCAACATGGTGAAACCCCGTCTGTACTAAAAATGCAAAAAAATTAGCTAGGCATAGTGGCATATGCCTGTAGTCCCAGCTGCTCAGGAGGCTGAGGCAGGAGAATCGCTTGAACCCAGGAGGCGGAGGTTGCGCAGAGGAGCTGAGATCGCGCCACTGCATTCCAACCTGGCAACAGAGTGAGATTTTGTCAAAAAAGAAAGAAAGAAAGAAAGAAGGAAAGAAGGAAAGAAAGAAAGAATATCCCAAGCATACTTGGCATGTAGCAGGTTCTCCGTAAACATTTGTTGAGTAAATGGTTAAGTGAATAAATGCAATGCTTGAATGGGTGGATAAATGAAAATATTCCATTGCTGTTATCAATGTATGTGTGCTGTGTGGGATGGTGAGAAGATAACTGATTAAAATCCAGAAAGCCTGGGTTCTAGAAAACCTTTGCTGTGTTACATTGGCACTCCACTAAACCTTTTTCCCTTGGGATGGAATACATAATCTCTGAAGTGCATTTAAACTATTAAATTCCATGGAAACTCTTATTATTTTTTTTACTTTGGGTTAATCAGGAAATTGGAAAAAGAAACATTTCTGTAAGCCATGAGAGATATGTTAAGAAATGTGATTGTCTAATGACAGTATTCACCGGTGAGGGCAACAGAAACATGTTTTCTCAGAAATACTTTTTATAAAAAATTTAAATTTCTATTAATAATAACTGTGTATATTTACGGGGCATCAGAATTCCTTTTAATCTTCTACATTCTGTGCTAGGTGGAGTATTAGTTCATTTCTCAATAGGCTGTTGCTTTTTCTGTAGGCTTGTTTGCTGAGTTTACCCAAAGATATTTCTTCGTGACTTTGCCATATTCACTAACTCCCTAGAAATCTTACCCCTGCTTTCTCCCTGCCTAGAAGCCTCACTGTGACCTGCAGGCTGTTTTGCCTGAAGACTTCTGACACTATGTCAAATCACATGCTGTTCTTTGAAATAATGAGTGCAGATCCAGTGTTAAAGAGATAAGGCTCTGGAGCCAGACTGCCTGGATTCACATCTCAGCTGTGTCACTTACTTGTGTTCTGGGCCTCAATTAGCTCTTCAATAAAAAGGGGATTATAGCGGTAGCTATTGCTAATGGTAGTTAAAGGGAATTAAATGTATGTTAACATATGTAAAGGGCACCTGGTAACAATGCCTGGTTCATAGTAAGTCCTTGATAATATAAGCTGTTATCATTATTAAGGTATGTGTTTGCTATATAAATGAGACAATGCATATTTGTACTTGCATTTCTTGAAGACCTATGTAGAAAATATTTCCATGATAAGTAATTATAAGAGCTATTTCTTTATTTTTCTGCGTTTGTTCATATATCCATGTTTTATTTATTTTTTTGTAGTGATCGAACTGTGAGAATTTGGAAGGCTCGCAGTTTGCAAGATGGTCAGATCTCTGACACAGGAGATCTGGGGGAAGATACTGCCAGTAATTAAACATGAGAGAAGATAAGTTGTAAACTGAATGCTGTGATAATACTCTGTATTCTTTATGGAAAATTTCCTGCACTTATTAGGCAAAGCGTATGAATGGGATTAACTGGAAAATATATCTGAATTCAACTGCTGACTATAAATTATATTCTAATAAAATTGTGTACTATCTTGTGTGCTTAGTTTTAAGATCAACCAATAGATATATATCCTACAATTGATATATTGCTTTATTCGCACTTTTATTGTAGCTGAATTTTTGTGCCTATCTATAAAACACACCTTCAAATTATTTGAATTACAAGACATCTGCTTTTGTGACAGTCAGAAAACACACCTGGCATACAATGCAACCCACTGTTAACTCATTCATATAGTTTATTCAAGTGATTTATGTATTTAAACATATTGAAAATGTTAGTCAAATTGTGGTTTGCTTGTCAGGAATTTTTATCAGTCTGTAGAGAGTTCCCAAATTTCAAAGCTCTTTTAGTGTAATGGACAAAAATAAGATATGAGAATATTATTGATGAATTTTCATAAGGTGGAATTGATCTTAATCTACTAACAGAGAAGGATAAATAGTTTGTGTTAAATGTTGGCATTTACTTGTATTGACCAAAGTTTTGCAGCTCTACTATATTCTGTGCTCAGGACTAAAATGTTGTTAAATTGTTGGGTTTTTTTGTTTTTTTTGGGTTTTTTTTCAGTGCTGTGCATATATTCTGTGATGGGAAACGTTGTTCATGTCCTAACAGAAATATATTTTGATCTATTTTCCTATGGAGTTGTTTCTATTATCACCATTTAATTTTGTTTTTATTTAATAGTAGTATTTCCTTCCCTTTTATCTAATTTTTTTTATATGCTGCTAAATATATTTTAAATACACTATGTTTGCAAACCTTGGTAGCTATGGTAAGAACTATTATCATCTGTGGTGGGAAAAGCTATGTAAATAGGTAGATTGTATAGAGAGACTATCTTGTGTTGTGCCTGTATGAATTTTTAAAAGCTGTTGATTGGATTTTGCAAAAAGATGCATAATATTTCTGTCTGCCTAGAATATTAATTTGTAAATTCTGCAAGTTTAATTTTTATGTGGATGGTATAACATTTGAAAATATTGTCTTACGTGATTTTTTTTCCCCTGAAAATATTTGCTTGTAAATGAAAACTTAGCTAGGGCTTAAATAAACATGTTGCTATGAAATTATTTTTACTGTATTGTTCTTTTTCCAAATTTCAAGAGAATGGCCAGTCTTTGTAAAACGTTGTTTTATCTTTGTGTGATAGAAGAAAAGGCATGTTTTTGGTTATCTGGCAATCTGTATGCATTCCTTTCTTTGCTTACTAGATGTGAAATATTCTTGAGAATTTTAAACAGTAACCTAATCTTGATGAACCGTGGAACCTCACTATTTAAAGCAATTAAGTTCAACTATGTAATTTAGGAATTTGAACATGCATGATAAAACAAAACAAAAAAAATCCTGTAAACATTAAGATAGTGGTGACCTTGTTTTCTAGAGAAGAGAAGGGGTGGCTGGTGACTAGCAGGTGTCACAGCAAGTGAGTTGGGAGGGTAGGGAGGGTGCTTCTGGGGTCCTAGCAATGTTGTAATTTTTGACCTGGGTCCTAAACATAAGCATTCACTTTCTACATATATGTTAAACTGTAAGTATATTTCTCTATCGTATTTTATGTATGTGTATATGTTCTAAGTTTCAGAGCAAAATAATTTTTGAAAAAAGTTTTAAGGAATATATTTTCCTATAAGGACAAAACTCCGCTCCTTTGTAATTTTGCCTCCTTCCCTGAAAGAAGGTACCATGCCAAGATCTGAAAGAGACTTCAAGACTATTTTAATTTCAAGTCTCTTGCAGTGTTTCTTTTTTGCAGGACTATTGCTCAATAATTCATTAGTTTGATCATTGACTTATTCAGTGGATGTTTAGTGAGCATACACATTGCCAAGTATTGGGGTGAAAAAATAACAAAACTGAGAGACACTTGCCCTCTGAGTAGAGTGAGATAATAAAACCAGTATTTACATAATAGCTTGGTAAGTGCTCGGATAAAGTCCAGGGTGCTTTAGCACCTATTAGAGGTATCCAAACTTAACTGCAAATCTAATGAGAGGTCCTGAGCACTGTGTTTGGTTGTGCAAAATACAAAGTTCAGTGTCTAATTCTACCTTTTAAAATGCTGGAGGCTCAGCTAGTGTAGATCTGATTTAAGAAATTCAAAAGCATATGTAAAAGAGGCAGCCTTCTTTAAAAAATTTACATATTGAAACGTGTTAACCCCTAAAGATCCCATTCAGAAATGTTAAAATAAGTATTAAAGCAGTGAGATAGTGCCTGTAAGATTTAAAATGGATTACTCCACACTATGTATTAAATATGTGTTTGTTCCCCCACACACACACAGAATAGTCTCTCTTTTTTTTTTTTTTTTTTTTAAGAAGATATGTTTCTGGTTTTAAATTCAAATCTCTAAAAGTTAGCAAGAAATAATTACAAGATTTTGCATATTAATCCAACTCTACCTTACAGGCTCACATTTGTTATTTAACTCTCAGGTGTTGTGGAGTCTTTCATAAAAATTTAAATTAAAATAATCAACAAGCTGACAACTTGTTTCATGCTGCTATTTGCTACTTTTCCCAAGTGTTTCCCATACCTTAACTCAAAATGGTTTCAAATTCTGTTTTCAACCTCATAATAGGTTATTTTTTTGCTTTGTTATTGGGGATTTTATTTGCCAACTACTGTGCAAATGCTAATGGCTGGGATTTTGTATTTATATTATATATAAATATAAAATGTACAGATTGCTGTGTATGAGCATCAGTATACAAAAATAAGAGTTGTCTATCCTTTCAGTTTTTAACTATAGCAAGATGCTTAACCACTTTTAAAATATGCTGCCATTAATCTCTCCTTTTATTTTTTAATATTTTGATGAGGATAATAATTATAATAGCCAACATTTATTGAGCATTTACTTTCCACTTTTGTTTGACTGGATATCCCCTAAAGTAGGGGAATCTAAAATGCCTTCTCCCAAGTTTGGAGATGTTTAATTGTGAATAAATAGTATGCATCCTATAATTGATGAAATATAGTACTACATATTGCGGGGGTTTCTGCCAAACAGATAAAAATAGTGACAAATGTTATCTATATCATATATGGTAGATAACATGATTCCAAACTACTTCTAATATGCTTAAGTGTATGTTAGATTTAGCAAAAGCAAAGACCACATTTCCCAGACTTGCTTCCAACTGTGTCCCACATTTAACCTGCCTTACACCAAACATATAAATCCAGGCAAGAGGTAGAGTGAGGAGGAACCAGTGTTTTTGCAGCACAATTTTAGAAGCTTTTTTTCCCCAGTGGCAACAGTGACAGTGTCCCAGCTGGCTAGTAGCTGTGGGTGCTGCGAGACCAGGCATAAGTAGGTCTTTTTGTTGGCACTCAGCTGAGCTGCTGGTCTTGGAGTCAACAGGGGAGAGGGGCAGTGGCTCCCTAGTTCCCCATCATCCTGACTGTGGTGGAAGCACTTATTTGATAGACTAATTCTGGGAGATAACCTAGCACTTGCTTCTCTAGTTCTAAACATTTTGTAAGCACCCATTTTCCTATGCTAAATTCCTTCCTGCTTAAACCAACTGCAGTGTTTTGTGTGTTTGCAATTGAATTGTAAAAGATCTATCCCTTTTTATTTGTAACCTATGTTTTAAGATATGTCTTCCATTTATTTTTTCCAGACTCTAAGTTAGTTCTCAAAAATGACCAGCCTCTTTTCTCATTAATCTATGTAGTTGTTTTCACTTGGAAATCAATACTTTTCAGTTGTCTGGAGTCTTCCTATGTTAAAATAGAATCTCGTTAAGTACTATGATTCTTTATGAAAGTCATTGTCTTCGCTCTTCTCTGGCAGATCTATGTTCCAGAGCCCCCAGGAATTATTCTGCTTTGTCCTTCATCCTCCAGTTGCTCAGTTCTTCATAGGTGTGCTGTGTGGGTTTTGTTTGTTTGTTTGTTTGTTTTGTTTTGTTTTTTCCCTACTTATAGTTCTGTTTACCCTGAGTGGTTGAGGCTGGCTGGTGCTAGGAGCATATAGTACTCTACTCTGATAGGTCTGCAATTTACAGCAAATTGTCAGTTCTCTATTGATGCCCCGGGAAATCCCGTCTGCTCTTTCTTGTCTCCCAATCTGTAGGTGTCAGCTTTCTCCAGTACGTGCAGCTGCCTCAGAGTTCTGCTGGGCCTGCAAGACTTTGCACACCCTCTCAGGACAGCAGGCATTCAGAGATGCCACTGTTTCTTAAAGGTATCCACAGTGCTGCTGTCTCTGACCACCCTATTAGACAGGCTCCTTGGGTTTTTGGCCCTGTCCAGTGTTTTATTCAGGAGAGTTGGAGTGCAGAGATCATAGATAACATTTTCATGCTTCCTCACTCATGGCAACCATTTAACGCCATCACTGGAAAATATGCAACAAATAAAAACTGAGTGATAAGAAACCTAATTTCAGTTAGGACTGCATTCACCTGCATGTACCAGGAAGCTGATTAGGGTGTGTGTTATCCTGTGACTGGATTTTAGGCAGTTTTTATAATTAGGAGTCTCTACCAGAGGTAGGCAACTAGGGGTGTCTTCTACAAGCCTCCGGAAAGACAGGAAGTGGCTGAGAAAGTAATGTAATTTTAATCTGCTTTGGCCGTTAACTGAAGGATCCTAAAACAGGGTTGGTGCAAAAGTAATTGCAGTTTTTGGACAATGAATTTTAAATCATGATAACTAAACTCAAACGCATTTATTAATTACAAAAAATAGGAACCATTACAATAAACACATTGTTTGCCAATGAGAAATAAGTTCATTTATTCCTGTAGCATAAAAATCTGTGCTTCAGTAATCTTCAAACTCTTGGAAAGAATTTTCTACACTCTGCTCGTTGTGGAAGGGTTTCCCCTGCAAAAACTTATCGAGATGCTTGAAGAGCGGTAGTTGGTTGGTGAGAGGTCAGGTGAATACGGCAGATAAGGCAAAACTTCACAGCCCAATTTGTTCAACTTTTGAAGCATTGGTTGTGTGATATGTGGTTGGGCATTGCTGTGGAGAAGAATTGGGCCCTTTCTATTGACCAATGCTGGCTGCAGGCACTACAGTTTTCGGTGTGTCTCATTGATTTGCTGAATGGTTTCACCAGAATTCAGAAAGCTGTAGAGGATCAGACTGGCAGCAGACCACCAAACAGTGACCATGAACTTTTTTTGGTGCAAGTTTGGCTTTGGAAAGTGCTTTGGAGCTTCTCAGTTCAATACTGGGCTGGTCATCGCCAGTTGTCATATAAAATCCACTTTTTGACGCACATCACAATCTGATTGAGAAATTGTTCATTGTTCTTGCGTAGAATAAGAAGACTGCATTTCAAAACAATAATTTTTTAATTTTTGCTAAGCTCATGAGGCATCCACTTATTGAGCTTTTTCACCTTTCCAGCATGCTTCAAATGCCGAATGACTGTAGAATGGTCGATGTTGAGTTCTTCGGCAACTTCTCCTGTAGTTATTAAGAGGATGGGCTTCCATGATTGCTCTCAGTTGGTCATTGTCAACTTCTGATAGCTGGCCACTACATTCCTCATCTTCAAGGCTCTCATCTCCTTTGCAAAACTTCTTGAACCACTGCTGCGCTGTATGTTTGTTAGCAGTTCCTGGGCCAAAAGCATGGTTGATGTTGTGAGTTGTCTCTGCTGTTTTACAATCCATTTTGAAATCAAATAAGAAAATCAATCGAGTTTACTTTTTGTCTGACATCATTTCCATAGTTTAAAATAAGCATAAGGTAAATAGCAAGTAATAAGTCATTAGCAAAAAAAAAAAAAAAAAAAAAAAAAAAAAAGTGAGAAATGCACATTAAAATGATGTATAACATAACCACATTTATTTAAGAATGTATTCCAATATCAAGTGGCACATTCCAACAATACAAAAAAACCACAATTGCTTTTGCACTCACCTAATACTTCACTTCTTATCTGAGGAGAGCCATATCCCAGTCTATTCCTACATCCTTTTCCCTAGACCTTCCTTTCCTATCTTTTCTTTCTTTCTTTCTTTCTTTCTTTTACTTTTGGAAAGATTTGTGTTGATTGTTGTCAGGGAATCCCCCACAGACAAAAAAAACTCCATGAGAA